ATTCAAGATGCCCTTCCCATTAGACCTTCCTCTTGATCAATACACTTGGACTGTTCTAAGTGTTTGTAGGGGCAGGACTGGACACAGCAGACTGGGTAAAGGAGGAGTCAGAGTATGGTGGAAAGTACAAGCCTGCTATATTCTAAAAAAGAGAACAAGAAATATTAATTCTCATAAAAAATGACAGATATGTAGTATTATATTAATAATACCATGTACAAAATACATTTATCTCTATAGAGGCAGGACTGGACACAGTGCAGGTTTTCAGATCCAGCAGACCGGGTAAAGGAGGAGTCAGAGTCCTCAGTGGCTTTTTGCAGGCTTTTATTGGGATTTACCAGGTACACAGCAGGCAATGGTGCTGGCAGGCCTCCCAGCCCCCAGCAAGTCTTCACTCTTATCTGGGCTCTCCGGCCTTCTTTGCTTCTCTCTCAGCTTCTGTTTGTTCTCTGCTTCTTGGCTTCTGCTGGCGTCCCCGTGACGCCGCCCTTCAAAGCCCATTCTTAGCCCAGGTGAATCCCATCTACCTATGCCCATACCCTATTCCAGGTGTCCACCATCAGGCATGCATTCAGGACCGCAAGGATCTATCATCTATCCTGATGGCGGGAGGGCAGAAAAGCCTGACATTTTTTCTTTACCCTACAGTGTTCTAATGCCACTTCGACGATTCTAATCTAAGGACAAGTGTAGAGTAGCACAGCTATATGAGTGTGATCTTGTGCATTAAATTAGGATGCTAACCTGATATGTTTTTTTGTGTGTTTTAAAAAATAGACTGTTTTTAATGGTCTGGAACATGATAGTAGGTTGAGCATCTGTATTTGTTTTCCCTTACTCCTGAAGCCACTCTAAAAAAACAGTAAGTTGATCTTATAAACACACACATGCGTACTCTCTATCAAGGACAAAAAAAATAGAAAGGAGAAAACTACAAGAAAACATCAGAAGGTGAAAATCCTGTGGATGAGACCTAACTGATTAAGCAGATAAGGGAAGGCAGAATTCTTAGATGGGCTAGTGTGGGGGATAACCCCACCGGTCCTAATTTATACCACAAAACCTACAAGGCTTTAGTAATTGACAGAACAAGGCCTCCAGTATGGGCAAGGTCAAAATAAAAGAAGTTGAAAGTTGTTTAAGAGGCAATCAGGTCCCCATATCGCCCCAGTCTGAGTATTTATGCCAGCCATTCTCTCTTCAGCAGAAAACTGTGTATTTATTCTCTGGAAAGGGTAAAATGACTTTGGATTGGGGAATGCAGGAAATGCTGAAAATATTTACACAATAAATGTGAGCTCTGCTTCACCTCACCCCACCTGTCCTCCCCAAGCCTATTTCCTCTCAGCTTCCAAAATACTGGCAGTCAGACCTAGACCTCCAGAGAGGAGACAGAAGATTTTTATTTATTTATTTTTTTGTGAATCTGTCCAGCCTAAGAGGAAGGAGCTAGAGACATTGAGGTCACAGGTAGTTCAAATGAAATAGTTAAGATCAGGTGCTACTAAAAGTCCACTGTAGATAAACTGAAGCCACTTACCCAGAGCTTCTAGTCCGGTTTTGGTGCTTCCCTCTTAAATAGGAGAAGATAACCCAGGACCACCAGATTCTAAGGAACACTTTTAGCATGAAAGATAAAGACCCCAAAAAATGGGGAAAAAAGAAGAAAGAGGCTTCAGGAAGCAGAACAAATGCACTTCTGAAAAACTAATTTCAGAAAGATAAGAAATTGCATTACATTTGGGATGCTGTCAAGGAAACACAAAAGAAAAGAGTACTTCGAAATTAAAGAGCTATAGTAGAAATGAAAACTGTTTTAAAGGATTGAAAGAGAAAAGAAATACTTGAGATTTTTTTTTAGAAAGTGTTTAACCTATGTAGAAAATAAGAGAAAAGAGATAAAAATAGAAGACTGGTTCAGAAGTTGGAACACTGGTTCCAACATTGGAAAATAGGAGTTCCAGAAAAAAAAAGGGCATGGAGGGGAAGAAATAATGACCTAATACAAGAAAATATCAAATAACCTAAAGATATTAGGTTTTAAATTGAAATGGCTGAGTACTCAGCACAGAGGATGAAAATAGACACACATGAAATTCATCAGCTAAAGTCAAAGAGATGATCCTAAAAACCACCAGAGAAGAAAAAAACAATCAAGAGTCTACTGTGTGATCCTTTAATAACAATGCTGGAAACTAGACCATAATAAAGTAGTTCTTAAAAATTCTGAAGAAAAAAAATTTCCAACTTAGAATTCCATATCAATACATGCTGCCAAGGAATTGTGAGGTAGAATAAAGATATTTTTCCTTGCCCCCCCTTTTTAGGAAACGGACAAAATAAGGGGCCGTCAAAATAAGGGGATAGTCTAAGAAAAAGGATGGGATGGGTATGGAAATGGGGTTCAGTGGGAGAAAGGCAAATGCATCCCTGGCATGATGATGAAGGGAGGTTCCAGGATGCTACCTTTGTCGAAGGTGGAGGGACACCTGCTTGGAGCAGTTTGGTGGGTTCTGTAAGATACGCCAGAAAAATATCAAAGTGATATATCTACCTGAATATATCTACCTGAATATCTACCTGAGGTTTATATGAAGAATTTGAATATAAAACTAAAATATATAGACTACCAGTTAATGGAAAAGTGAGTGTGGATCTTTGGCTCAGTTGTGACTGTCATTTACCTAATGTCCTATAACTATATTGGAAGGACAGATGGGATGAAGTCAGGACTGTGAAAGAGAACTTAATCCTCATCTTCCATAATGAGAGATTTATAAATAATGCCCAAAAAGTGAAAAGTCAAGTGTAACAATATGAACTTTTGCCATTGCCAAAGATCAGGAAAGAATTGAAAGTAGCTGTCTGTAGGTGTGGGGAATGGATATGTGACCTGATGGCAGGGGTAGTAGTGGAGGCGTGTCGTGGGACTTCAAATAATAGTAGTAGTAATAATAATAATAATAATGAACTTTTGACTCTCAAAATTGTATTTGTGTATAATTTGTATAAAAACACATCGAACTTTGAGTTTTAAAGTTGTCATATTTAAGACAGTATGTGTCAATTCTATGTGCAGTTTTGTCACATTTTTATAGTATCACTGAAATTAGCATGCATCTTAAAATCCATGGTGTTAGATTGAGTGAAATATGATGATTCAGGATTCTGATTTATCTTATTTGGAGATGGCATGAGTATACTATCTTTTTTTTTTTCTTTTTAATTCAAGATTGCAGGTTTAAGTCTACCTCTTCCTCCCAAGAAACTGATTGGTAACATGGACCGTGAATTCATAGCTGAGAGGCAGAAAGGTCTTCAGAACTATCTCAACGTTATCACGACAAATCATATCTTATCTAATTGTGAGCTGGTTAAGAAGTTTTTAGATCCAAACAACTATTCCGCAAACTACACTGGTAAGCCAAGGGACCTGCTGTGAGGGTCATGGGGCTAGAGAGGCTCTAGTCTTTCCCCAAGATAACATGTATTGTCTACTTACAAGGCGGAGGTATGTCATTTGTTATAGGGTTTTATCTGCTTATTAACAGATATAGTCTATATATTAACTAATATAGTCTATATAGTCTATATATCTAATATAGTTTATATATTAACTAATTGCAATATGTATAGAAGAAAATAATTGCTCTGTATGCTTGTAATGTCTCCCCAGAAAAATATGGAAGAGAAGTTATTGTGTCTACATACTTACACTCTTTATTATTTTCTCTGACAGAAAAGAAAGTAAATAATCCACAATAATCTATATGTAGTTTCAGTTTGATTTGTATTTTCCTGTTATTGTATTTACAATATATAGTATGTTGGGTTTTTCTGGGAATTACATTAAACACAGTGGTGATTTAGAAGCATCCTTTCTGTGTCTTTCTAGTTTCAGGGCAAAGCCTAAGGAGGAGGTTGTTTCCCTGGATCAGGGCAGCAGCCAGGGCACTCGGGTGGAAAGGCCTTCCACACAAAGCTAGCAGTGATGATAACCTAAGCCTGGTGTCAGCAGAATGAGTGTTTAAACATTTATTATACTCTAGGGAAGGCTTCAAGAGACCAAAAGAAACCGTTGTAGACCTACATCAATGACTAGAATTCAACTGATGTTAAAGCTACACCAGTTTAGGGTCTTTGTTAAGTGGAAATTTGGTTATTATTAACTTGATTTCCTTGCTAAGAGAATAGATTACTTACTTTTTGGGCCCTCAAGACACTGCTTTTTAATTCACTAAAAGGAAGCACTTTTATCTTGTTATAGAGAGAGAGAAATAGAAGCCTCCTTATCAGGAACCAAACTTTTCTGTGTAATAGTATCACCTGGGAAGCTTTAAAAACATTCTGATGCCTGGTCTTACCAGTTCAATCAATCTCTGGAGGTGTAAAACTCCCCCAAGAGATTCCAATGTGCAGCCGAGTTTGAAAACCACAGCTCTTGGGCCTTGCTTCTTACAGTGTGGCCCTTGACCAGCACCATTGGCATCACTAGGAGCTTGTCAGAAATGCAGAAATCAGGCTCCATCTCAGACACACTGACTTTAATAAGGTCCCCAGGTGATCTGCATGCATATTACAGTTTGAGAAGTTTTACTCTGAAATGTGCCTGCCGTCTTCTAATGGAAGTGCCCGTGGAGTAAGAAGAATGCCTTTCCTGCATTCATCCAACTATAAATTATGAAACAGCACACTGAATTGTTACAAGGCTGCTCTTCTTCCTCCACTTGCTTTTTGCCATGCATAACAGGGCCAGGGCTCCCAGGTCAACTTGCCTCCTGTCAGAGTATTATCTCTCATAGCTTTCACTTCACCATGCTTTACCTTAATTGTTCTCAAGATTGAAAAGCCTTGAGTCCTCTGGTTTCTCTCTTATCGAATCAGCTCCATTTCACTGGTTTGTTTACATTCTTTTCCTGAAATTGCCTATAAATGTTCTCCAGAGGACAAGTATCCAGGTGTGGTGCACGTTATGTAAGGATGCTCTTTGTCCCACACACCATGATTCTGGGCTTTGCCTATACCTGTGCTGGGTGCAGAGCTGGGTGTTGGGGGTGCCCCGTGAGGAAGATTTCACTCCCTGCTCTCAGGGAACTTATCCTGGAGGTACAGTGAGTCACTTTGGGTCACAGCTAAAGGGATCTTGGAGGAGGCATATCAAGACTTACTTTCATTTTAAAGATGAGAACTCCAGCCCCCAATGTTGCACATTTGTGTGATTATCTGAGTGTTTTCCAATTAAAATGGTGCCTGACCCATAGAAGGCTTTGTCTGATCTCTGTAGTTCCTGCTACTGTAGCCTCCCTTACATGCTGCTTGTTCTTGTCACTCTCTCCCAGCGTGGCAGGCAGTCAAGTGTCCAAAGCAGATGTGGGGAGGATATAAGAAGGCCACCAGCGACTCCCACCAGAATCCAAATGTTCAAGAGGCTGGCCACTATCTAGAGGGCACAGTCCAGTACTGAAACAATAGGGGATGGATGCTATTTTGAGAGAGATGCTGATTTATTTCCCCCTTTGAATGAAATGTCAGAACTTGTCGTACTCCTAGGCTGAGTCACCACCAGAAAAGGAAGCCCAGGCCTTCTCTTCCACACCAGCTTGAGTGAGCCATTCCCCGGAAAGACAGACAGACACGGCCAGACTTCCCGAAATTCACAGCATGCTCATGCTTCCAAGCACCCTCTGTGTACCTCCAACTTCTGGCACTTCTCTAAGCAAGGCTACTTTCCCCTTTTAATGTGGGTAATGTCTCTGTCTATTGCCATTTTCAAAATAGTCTGTGATCATTGCCCAGCCTCACTCCAGCAGGACTTGATTTCTATGTGCGGCTACAATCACAATGGCAATTCTGCATGACTCCATGACTGAGGTTGAGATGTCTTGATGGGGGACAACTGTGATGTCAGCCTGGTCCCCAGGGGACAGGACACCAGGAACTCTCCAGACAATGGCAGCTGCCTCTTCTTCTCCCCAGCCCCCAGCCTAGGACTTTGATCCTTCCTTTTCTATGTTCGCTAGATGACAGTCTCCACAGAAAGAAAATGCCAGCCCTTCATCCTCTGTGGGGGAATTGTGAGTTCTGTTTGAGTCAGAAGTCGAATTGAAGGACAGCTCTTATGTATAGGGTGAACAGCTATCCCCATCATGATGGTTTGTGTGGGGAAATACAGACACACACACTCACAAACCCCACTTATTTACAAGGTACTTCTATTATTATAACACCTCCTGGCACTGTGGCTATCTTCCTAGCTCAAACCTCAACCCCCCCGAGAGCAAGGGATTTTTAAATGTCCATGCAGAGTCACTTGGACCAGAAATCAGCAGGTCGGATCCTGGTCCCATTTTGTCATCAGCAGCATTTCCCATCTGTGGGCTTCAGGGTCCTGGCCTATTAATAAGAGCTGGGAGAGTAGAGAGTAGACCGGGAAGTGTGAAGTTACCTTTTAGTGCAAAACCCCAGGAATCCCAGGGGCAGGTCAATCGTAGTAGACTCCATGGTAAAAGGAGGGAGGAAGGGACAAAGAAGGGGCAGGAAAAGGGACTTTTAAAAAGTTTCTTTATTTTTCTTAAGTTTTATTAGTTGCCAGTAGTTTACATAACTATTAATTTTGGGAGTACAACTTCATACCTCCGTATGTGAACATGCCTCACTTAGCCTCCACCAAAGCTCTAGTGCTACAATCCTGCCAACTTCTGTCCCCTGTCTCCTCCCCCTCCCCCCATTCTCTCAAAGTATTAGTCAGAGTCTCTGAATTATTCTTGTTTTACTATTTTTTTCTTTGGTTATTTATATTCTACAACTGAGTGAGACCATTTGGTAACTCTTTCATTTTCTGACTTATTTCACTTAGCATACTCACCTCAAGATCCACCCATTTTGCAGCAGAAGGACACCATTTCATCTTTTTTAGTGGCTCAGTAGTATCCCATTGAATATATTTTCCACAGTTTTTCTTTCTTTTTTTAATTTTTTAGTTTTTTTAAGACTTTTTTTTTAAGATTTATTTTTATTTATTTATACAAGCACTGGGTACAGTCAGAAGCGCGGGAGGGTGAGAGAATTCACCAGAGCCAGAGCGGGAAGCAGAGCAGACAGACTGATGAAGTGCACTGCTGAGGGGAGCAGCGGGTGGCAGGAGAGGTCTGCGCGCCATGTAGGACCCTCCTCCGGTGGCCGGGGAGCAGCTGGGGATCAAACCGGCGCTGCAGAGGCTACGGGCAGCTTCGCAACCCAGCACTCAACTGCTGCGCCACCGGGGAGGCCCGTTTTTCTATCTAGTTATCTGTTGATGGGCATTTGGTTTAGTTCCATGTCGCACCTATTGTGAATAATGCTGCCTTGAACACAGAAGTACATAAAAAGTACATACATCTTTTCATATTAGTGTTTTCATATTCTTTGGGTAAATACCTAGCAGAGATATTGCTGGAACATATGGTATTTCCATTTTCATTTTTTGAGGGGGGGGGAATCTCATACCATTTTCCACGGGGCTGTACCAAATTGCATTCCCAACCAACAGTGAATAAGTGTTCCTTTTTCCCCACATCTTTGCCAACATTTGTTGTTAACAGTCTTTTTAATATAGGCCATTCTTACAGAGGTGAGGTGGTTTTTCATGTGATTTAGATTTGTATTTCCCTTATAATAAGTGATGTTGAGCATTTTTTCACATGACACCTGAATGTCTTCTTTGGAGAATTGCTTATTTCAGTCTTCTGCCCATTTTTTGGACTGGATTGCTTGTTATCTTTGTTGTTGAGTTGTTTGAGTTCTTTACATATTTCGAAATTATTCCCTTCTCAGAGGTGTGATGCGCAGCTCTCTTCTCCCAGTCCCTAAGTGGCCTTTTCACAGTTGAGGTACAAAAGCTCTTTATTTGATGTAGCCCCACATGTTTGTTTTTCCTATTGTTTCCCCCTTGCATTTAGAGATGTGTCCCCAAATATGTCTCTGTAGTTGATCTCCAGGAGTGTATCCCCACTTTCCCTTTGTGTATTATTTTGTGCTTTCAGGTCTTATATTCAAGTGTTTAGTTCACTTTGAATGAAGTTTTGTATATGGACTTAAGTAATGATCTAGTTTCATTTTGTTGCATGTGGCTGTCCAGGCTTCCCAGTGCCATTTGTTGAAAAGGCTTTCCTTTCTCCAGTGTATGGTCATAACTCCTTTGTCAAAGGTTAACTGTCCATATTTGTGTGGGCTTATTTCTCGGTTCTCTATTCTATTCCAACGTAGTGGGGCATTTTACTCAGAACAAGAACAGGATGCTTTGGAGAAGCTGGAATCCCGTGTCCACTGTGTGTGCGTTCCTGTGTCACCCTCTGTTATATAGACTGGGGATCTGGAGTCCAGTTGTAGGGCTGGAGGGGGTCAATGTTTGTTCCCTGCAGTCATAGTATGGGGCTTGACCTAGGAGTTGCAATGCTGTACACAATAGGGGTAGCTGGTATATCCTGAGCTGAAAAGTTGGAGCTTTGTGGGAAGCATGGAATGGGCTTGAAGGTTTTGCTCTGCATTTCATGTCTGGAGTTGTTTATCAGCATGTGCAAAGTATGTAGTTTCCTCCCATGTGTCAGTCAATGCCAAGAAAATAGAGGGCAGATGTCTTCCTGTTCATGAATGTATTTTTTTTAAAGATTTATTTATTTATGCATACAAGAGATGCGGGGGGTGAGAGGATTCACCAGAGACAGAGTGGGGAACAGAACAGGCAGAATGACCAAAGTACACTGCTGAGGAGAGGTACAGGCGAGTTAGGAGAGGTCTACTGTGCCATGTGGGTTGCTCCTTGGCCGGCCGGGGATTGAACTTGTGCTGCAGAGGCTGCGGATTGCTTCATAGTGTGGTGCTTAACCCCTTGCGCCACCAGGGAGGCCCCATTAATTTATGTTTTAATGGGAGAGACATTTTATAGCCATTGAACATGCACTGACCCTTTAGTTTTTGCTTCATCAAATATCTGGGTACCTACTATGTGCCAGGTGCTACAAATACAGCAATGAGGATGGGATAGTCCTCCTACCCCTCTCAAGGCACTTCTACAGAGAGATCAGCAGTGAAGACCAGCCGGGTAAATACTGGGAAACACCTTAGGATGGGGGAATAGGTGATGCAGAGCTGAAGATGGAGGAAGGCTTCTCAGAAGAGGTGATACTCACATGGAGATTGAGGATAAGTGTCAGTTAGCTAGGCTAAGAGGCAGAGACCGGTGCTCCAGAAGAGAGAAGTATTTCCATATGGCTATGTGCTTTACTGAGATTAAGATGTATCCTTCCAGCCAGAATCTAGTGGAAAAGAATAACCCTAATATGGGGCAGACTGTGGGTGGGGGACAGATATAGCCCTGGGAGAACTCAGTGAATGGACTCCTGAAAAAAGGGAGCAGTACCTTTGGCTGAGCCTTGAAGGATAAATGGACAGGAGTAGAAAAATGCTGAGGGCTGGAGGCAGGTCAGTCTTTAGGGACCAAGGGAGACAAATCTCAGAATGAAGAGAGTAGGAGGTACCTCATGTGGAGGAGATGAAGCCAGAAAGCTAGGCTAAAGCCAGAGCTAGGCGGAACACTAGGTTTAGAAACTTGGTCTTGATTTGTTAAGGACACAGGCACCAATAAGGAGGATCAAAGTGTGTTGCCAATAGGATCAAAGTGTGTTGCCTGAGTCTAGGGAAGGAGGGATTAATATTGGTTGCATGGTAGTCTCCTGATATACTTGATGATAAATGAAGTAGATCTGAAGATGGAGGAAAGAAAGGGTAATGTCCTTTCTACAATTCTCTGTCCTCTCAAGATTAAAAAATGTTATTTTCCAGTCCTCAATTTATCAGTAACAAATCTAGCATGTTCCATGTTCACTGCTATTTCCCCTTCCTAAAACAAGATGTGGTAATAGCACATAATAAACACTTGAATAATGATTTTACGGGGAATTATGAGTCACTGCTAGTCTTAAACCATCTTTTATAGTCTCTTAAAATGACATCATACCACGTCTAGAAAATTATTTTTCATGATCCCTCTCAAAGTTTATATGAATGATTTTCACTTAAGATAATTTCTTTCAAGTTTTATTTATGTTTAGGTTATTTTAGGATTGTTTGTTGTCAAGTTATTTGGGAAATATTAAAAGCACTTTATATCAGTTGCAGAAGAAGTGTGGAGTTCCCAGTGCTGACAATGAAAATTTATGTGTTTTTGCCACACCCAATCCCTCCCAATAGTTTGTCACATTAGGGTAGTGAGAACAAATGTAAATGGAGTCAGTTTTGCAGTTGATCATCTCAGATTTTCTTCTGTGTGGATAGCTTGACATTTTACATATTGAGTCAGTAAACAGAGCTAGTAGATTGTTTTCTTCCCTGAATCTCTTATTTCATAATGAACTGTAAAATATATTAAAATGACATTGTTTGCCAAGCATTTGGCATGATAATTCCAGTCTAGGTCATTTTGACATATGGAGAGCATTTCTGCCAAATTTTATGCCTTTCCATTGTGCTTGGAATGTAATTAATGCCAGACAGAGGTGAAATTCCACTGAATTTGCAGGATTGCTATTTGCGTTCAGGGATCTGAAGTGGCCACATTTGCTCACTGAATTGAGGGGAAATAGCAAGTTAACAGATGTTGCGATTTGCAGGAAATGTAAGGGCACAGTTATTCTGATAATTTCTTACTACTATAAACTTGAAAGAACTTCCTCTTCTTATTGTCTTCTTAAAAGGGGGGAATGTTCTCATGATAAATGAACACAAAGAGAAGGATGAATTTTTTTCCTAGTAAACAGGCACTTGGTGACTTCCCACAATAGAACTTGTTGCTGTACATAGATGTTTTTCTAAAACACTGGCTTTTATTTCCACTATATATTTAAGGCTAATCACTTCTTTGTTTGTGAAAGCTATACTTTCATGAGGAATGAAGATGGGATAAATATCTCTGGGAGCAGCATTAAATGCTGTTCCAAGATGACCTTCAAACATATTTCTAGTTTTGTGCTTGGGTTGTTGTTTGGTGCATATATTGAATTCTTGGCTTACACCAGCTAGTTTTACATATTCTAGATCTCCAATTTAAATATATATATATATGTTGTACATATGTACACATATATGTACACATTTATTAGTGATTATTCTTTTTCTTTAATAAATATATTAATTTGAAATAATTTCAGAAAAGTTTATAGTAAAAATGGTGATGATAATACAGTTTCCTTATTCCTGGCACCCAATTTCTCCTGTTAACATCTTATATTACCCTGGCAGTTATCAAAACTAAGAAATTAACATTGGCATATTACTATTAATTATAGATTTTATGCAGACTTCACTAATTTTTCCACTACCCTTTTTGTTATTCCAGGATACAGTGTAGACGCCCACATTGTATTTAGTCTGTGTGTTTTTTTTTTTTTTTCGATAGTTAAGTTTTTTTAAGAAGGTCATCCTTTATAGTCTTAAGCTTTCCTGATACGTTTAACTAATGAGTCTCTCAAATGTCTTTGCAGAGATTGCCTTACAACAGGTTTCCATGTTCTTCCGATCAGAACCCAAGTGGGAGGTAGTGGAACCATTGAAAGACATAGGTAAGAGATTGGCATACCCATTCTGTTAAAAAAGATGAATCACATGACTGGATTCTTTGTCATGCTTTCTTATAGTTATCCCAAGAAAGCTCTTAAATGCAGGTGATTTTTCCTTTTACCTTCCTAATTCTTGAGGATGCGGTGCTTGATTTTTTTTTTTTTTAGTCCAACTTTAATCATGTCAACATTACCAAATGGTGATTTTACTGGTGCCTGTATAGCTATGGGTAATGTTGCCAAACTTAATTTTCATTAATTACTTAGTTAATGAAACTTATATCCATTAATGTAAAAATTATGTAGCCATAAACACATCTATGCTTTTATGGTAGGTTGGAGGATAAGAAAGAAATATTTCTTGATGAAGATTAAAAATCAGCCAAAGGAACGGCTAGTGTTAAGCTGGGTAAGCTAGTTTATTTTTTTGCTGTTGTTCTTTTTTGCTTCCGTCTCATTTCAGGAACTTTAGATTTTTTTTTAAAGATTTAGTTATTTGTACATACAAGAACTGGGGTGTAAGCCAGAGGTGCAGGGTGGGGTGGGTGAGAGGATTCACCAGAGAGTGGGGAGCAGAACAGGCAGACTGACTGAAATACACTGCTGAGGGGAACAGTAGGCTAGACAGAAGAGGTTTGCTGTGCCATGTGGGTTAGCTCCCTGACCAGTGGGGGGAATGAAACTCATGCTGTAGTGGCTGGCAGTAGCTTTGCAGCGCTATCTTTAACCCCTTCGCTACCAAGGAGGCCCCTAGATGGGTTTTTTAAAGTCGATATTGACAAGAGCATTATGAAACTGTATTTGTTCCTGAAGGATGTTGTAAAGGCCTCCTCTTTAAAGGAGAGTCATTTTAAGTCACTTTGCTTATACATTTAGTTATAGCTATGTGATTATATTTAATCAACTGGTAAACATTTGGAAAGAAATAGGAACAGCTTGAAATGGTCTACTGAAACCTCTTTAGGGCTGGCAGTTTTGCAGTTTGTTTTAATGAAAATACATGGGCATTGCTTTATTTTGTGTCTCACTTGGGAGGAGTTCAGTAATACATTTGGCCAGTGGAATTAGGTAGTATTACAGTCCTGTTATTAATATGTTTACATATGCTTCTCTAGAAAAGCTTTGAAACAGAAAACTTAGTGTGGTTTTCATCTTTGGTTGACAGTCATATATTTGAACAAATTTTTGAAAAAGGAAAACCTTATAAAGAAATTTTCTTTTGATGACCAAGGCAACACTCTAATATTTCCTCACATGTTTTCAGGCTGACCTTGGCCCTGACAAGTATCTATCAGATAAAGATTTTCAGTGTCTAATCAAACTTCTGCCTTCCTGTTTGGTGAGTACAAGTTCTTTTTTTTTTTTTTTAAATTTCAGGTGCTAAAGTGGTAATAAACACACAGACTTTTTTTTTTTTAAGATTTATTGATTTATTTATACAAGCACTGGGTACAGTCAGAAGCATGCAAGGGTGAGAGAATTCACCAGAGCCAGAGTGGGGAACAGAACAGGCAGACTGACAAAATACACTGCTGAGGGGAGCAGCAGGAGAGGTCTGCGCGCCATGTGGGACCATCGCCCGTGGCCAGGGATTGAACCGGCGCTGCAGAGGCTGCAGGCAGCTTCGCAGCCCAGTGCTCAACTGCTGCGCCACCAGGGGAGGCCCAGTACAAGTTTTTTATTTTTGGTGCTGATCACAGTTTACACTATTTTCTTGTGGGTGACTGTGGACAGAACTGGAAATACTCTACAGACTCAAGAGAATGGAGCAGTACCTTGGATTTCAGTTAAGACTGAAATTATGCAGGGCAGCTCCCGTCAAGTAAATCAGAAGCCATTTCAATGGCATTTGGGACATTTCCACACCCCATGAATTGTAGTCATTTAAATGTAGCCTTTGTGTTTGAAGCAAATATCAGTGGGAAAGCAGTCACTTCTCTGAGCCTTTTGTTCTTGGTGAGGGTGGAATTGAAAGATCTGTTTCTAGCCTGAGAAAACAGGACTAATATGGATTTAGATAAGCTAAACAAGGGAAAGGCAAAATAGTCCTTTTGCTTTTTTGAGTTACCACTTTCTCAGGCTAACTAGCTGAAGTTAGCCTTGAAGAGTGCCTGGTATTATTTATACTAATGCACAATTCTAACCAAATGTCTTGAGAGAAAAAAATCACATCGATATATTTCAAAATATATATAGACTTTCTTCAGAAGACTAATCTGACCAGAAAATTGAATTAGTGTTGATGTTCTTTATCTGCGGTCTGTATAAGTGTGTAGGATCCTAGAATGAGTCATTCAACCAGTTGGGTTAGCAAATTCATTTTTCAGATAGTTTCTTGTCAAACTAGAAAAACCAAGCCTTTAATGAGATGTGATATATGCCCCCCCCAAAAAAAAATGGCATGGTCTTTAATTTTGATTAGTTGTATGGCACAATTCTAAATTTCCATTAATGGATGTGCTTTTTAAAAAGAAGATAGTACAGAAAGTGGTGTGTATTAATTGCAGCAAAGCCAGAAAACATAGATAAGCAAAAATAAGAAAATAAAATTCATCCTTAATCTCAACCAAACAGAAGTAGTAGCCAAAATTTTTAGTTGTTGCTTTTCTAAAATTTTATATGATTATTTTCAAAAAATTGTTTTAAAAACTGATGGTTTCATTAATGGTATACCAATAATATCTTTTGCTTTTTATAAAATAGTAAAACATCATTGTACTGGCTACATAAAATTATTGGCTATACCTCAATATATTACTATTATTATTATTTTATTGAAGTTCACATACAATTTATGGTATTACCTACCATTATATCATTTTCTGAACTGGTGAACAGCCCTTGGTAAAATTCTAGAATGAGATGAAGTACAGTGTTCTCTCAAATTTTCATAAATAGTCACATTCTTGGAAAATTCAATAGCAAAAATATACTCTCTGTTTACATGTAAAATAAAGTTAGATTCTGGGCTAAAATTTATCCTAAGCAGATTTTTCACTCTTCTGTATGTCTAACAGGAGAGGGGGAATCTGTGTATTGTACAAAAGTTGCAGGCACACTGCTCCTATTCCTGCACCCCATCATTGTAGCAACAAATACTCATCACCAAATTTCCACCCTGCACATAAGGGGGAGTTGGAGAGAACACTACAAGAGGACCGTAGATTTTGATACTTTCGTTTTCAGAAAGATTTCCTTATATGAGATTAAACAAAATTTGTTGCATAAATAACTAGAGTTTGGGCACTGAGATTTACATAACTTATATCCAATTGATTTTTTCAATTGATATTTTGATCATTTTATTAAATTGATAAGAATAGGTTGTCTGAAATCTGTTCTCACTTTTAAAAATAAAATATGCTTCCCACCTTTCCTGTCATTGATCCCAAAACAATGACTTGGACCTTGCTGACAGCCTTTACTCCTTCGACCTATTCTCAGCCTACCCCCCAAATTATAATTCTTTACTCCTCAACTCCTCTTTCAAAAAGCCCTTGAAATAGCTGCTCTTGCTCACTTTTAAATAAAAGCAATATTTTGAAGTAACATTTCATTAAAACATATATTAAGTTCAAGGTGTGCATCATTGAAAATCATCATCTGTATTTACTACACTAAATTTACCGCTAAAAGGCCTACTTTACTCTTCATTGTATAAGCATCCCATTTTACCTCTTTTTCCCTTCCCCTCTGTACTTCAATTTAGTCAACTAACTTATTAGACTTTCAGATCACATCCAGTTTCTTTACTCTCATTATATAAAAAAGTCATAATGAATAATTTTAGCTAAACATTTGTGTCCATTCTTAATTAATTAATTTTTTTTTTTTTTTTTTTTTTTTGTGGGACCCTCGCTGGTGGCCAGGGATCGAACCGGCGCTGCAGAGGCTGTGGGCAGCCTCACAACCCAGTGCTCAACCGCTGCGCCACCAGGGGAGGCCCTTAATTAATTTCTTAAGATAAATTGCTAGAATTAGTTAACTAATTATAGGGAGACATTTTGAGACTATGTAAATATCCTCTTCTTTACCAAACTTACTAGTTTTTACATTCATGGGGATTTTTCTAACACCATAGAATCTTCTGTTTTTGTTAATTGATATTCTACTATAAGGAAGAGCTTTCTATTCTTTCTTCTTTGTTTAATCAGTGTGAACTCAGGGATTTTAATTTTATTCATTGGGTTTCTTTTTGGAGTGGCAAAAATGTTTAGAATGTTTTATATGGCTGTTGAATAACTTTATGACTATTGAATTGTACTGTTTGAATATTGAACTTTATGAATATTGAATTGTACTGTTTAAATAGATGAATTGTAATCATGCAAACTATATTTCCATAAAACATTTGTAATTATTTTTCAAAAATATTTGTATCAGCCATTTTGAATCATCAAAATACACACTCCACTAGAAGGACAGAAAGATTCATGCTTACTGCTTGGGGTAAGGACCATGATGCCAAGAGATGCTGCTTTTGCTTATTTTCTACCTGTCACGTGTGTCCCTGGCTTGGCAATGAACAGAATGTGAAGTGTTAGGCAAAGCTGTGAGTGAAGACACATTTATCCTGGTCCCCACTTGGCTGTTCTAAGATTTGACTCTATTCTTTGCCAATTTACAGAGGTAAACTATTAAAACTGCTGTTCCAAAAATTCATACTTTGCTTTTCTCCGACTATACTTTTGCCTGAACTGTGAGAATGGGCTTTTTAAGCAGATACCCTCACACATGTAGAGTTTACAGTGTCAGTTATTTCCACTTCCTTTTGTCAATATAGTTTATATTCTTGCTTTCATCTAAGGAATGAGGTCATAGTTGGCTATCTAATAACTCAAAAATGCTTTGTGTTCAGGGAATAGCCCCACATTTGTATGTAACTAGACTAGTGAGGTGGTACTTGACCCTGCATCTGATGAAAGCAAATGTGAATTTCTTTTTTGTTTTGGCAGCATCCTTATATCTATCGGGTTACCTTTGCCACAGCTAATGAATCCTCAGCATTGCTAATTAGGATGTTTAATGAAAAAGGAACTCTGAAGGACCTGATCTACAAGGTACTACGTGTACAAGTTCATGATCATAACAGAAGTTCACAAGCCCGTTTGCTACTGTTATTGATACTTGATCCCTAAGGTTCAGGGATTTTGTTTCAATTTTTATTTTGAAATTTATTTTTGTTTTAGCACTGAAATCTGCCCAGTTTGTTTAAATAGTATTCGTTTCCCCACATAGGTAAGGTTGAATATTTAATGATTATATCCATTACATTGTGAGCTGCTCTCTTACATAGGTTTTGAAGTTTGTGTCTTTCACTTAACAAAACAGTATTGAACTATCTTAATAAAACTTGGGGAAAAAAATTTTTCCCAAAAAAGTCTAAGGGTATATAAAACTTTGGGAGTCTTCTAAGGCTAAGATATATCTTAGATATATCTTCACTGGACTAAAGGAGAGGACAAAACCTAGGTCAGCGTCTTTGTATCAGCTATACAGACTGTTGCATTCCTAAAGCCCAAGTCCTTTGGGCTGACGTTGCCTGGTGCCCCCAATCTCTGCAGAAGGTGGCCAAGTGTAGATGCTGACTCCTCTACTGCTTTCTTATGTGCTCTTTGTTCTTTTCCTAAGTCAAAACCAAAAGACCCATTCCTGAAAAAGTACTGCAATCCCAAGAAGATTCAAGGCCTTGAACTCCAACAAATTAAAACATACGGGCGACAAATATTAGAGGTAAGAGGCATTAATTATTTAATAAATCAATCAATTAATTTTCATTTATATTGGTTGAAATTTCACCCAGCTTTACATTATTCTTTTGGGAACGTTCTCAGGCAGTGTCCAAAATAGTTTTAAGTTGTATAATATGATCACTTAAGCTAATTTTTAAGCAGATACTTGAGAGTATAGCAGTAATAATTTTTTAGCTTTTTATTTATTTAATTTTTTAAATTGGCTTACAGTGCATTATCATCTATTGGAATTTAGTGTCTGATTTTCAAGAACATTACTGTGTGATCACCAACTTTTGTGTTATCTTTGCTTGATCTTTATCTTTGTGCAAAATTCTTTTTTTTTTTTAAATTTTTTTTTTTTTATAGAGGCATGTTTTATTTATTTGTTTGTTTGTTTGTTTGTTTTGTTTATACATGCACTGGGTACAGTCAGAAGCGCGGGAGGGTGAGAGAATTCACCAGAGCCAGAGCGGGGAACAGAGCAGGCAGAAGGACCGAAGTACACTGCTGAGGGGAGCAGCGGGCGGCAGGAGAGGTCTGCGCGCCATGTGGGACCCTTCTCCGGTGGCCGGGGAGCAGCCGGGGATCGAACCGGCGCTGCAGAGGCCGCGGGCAGCTTCGCAACCCAGTGCTCAACCCCTGCGCCACTGGGGAGGCCCTGTGCAAAATTCTTGACTTTATTATATATTTTACCATCTGGCTCCCTTACAGAAGAGTAACTAGCACGAAAAGCCTTCCCCTTCATTCTCTAGAGCAGTGTCCTCCAAGCTCCTTGGATTGTACAGCCCCAACAGTGAAAACAACTCAGGCATCCTCCCTAATGTCATATATATGGAACTATTATATACACGTACTACTACTAATATAATTCTCACACTATAAGTTAAGAAAGTGTGATATTAAAGACAAAACAAATAGTGATGCTGTAATATTTTCTTCTAGTCCTCAGTGGGTTGTGCTGGGCACCCTCTTTGGCTAACACTGCCCTTAGTTTGTGTCTAGGCATCTTTGCTGATGGGTGAGCCACTGTTTGTTAAATGGCTGCCAGAAAGTTTGCTTCTTTTTGTGGGAGCCTGCCATGCGTTTTTGTTAATAAACAGCCAAATATATTCTGAGGGGAGATTGGGCTAGAGATGTTTTCAACTCAATCCCTTTTCCTGAATAACTGGCCGAAACACTGACATGATAAGCTCATCTGTGCAGGAGGAGCAAGACTTTGCTCTGAAGAGAACTGGCCTGTTAGGATCAGAAAGTGTTTACAGTAGAACCTTCTGGCCTCAAATCTGTTAACCACAAGTAGATGCAGGCTCCCTCTCCAAAGTTTGGAAATGAGGGAGCTTGGCATTGAATCTCACAGCTGGAAAGCACTCAGCATCATCTCCTTTTATAAAGAAATGGAGGTGACATTTTTCTTTAGGAATCTCCCCAGTGACCTATTTGAGTTTGTTTCAAAATATGTTGATCTAAGAAGCAAGTCTAACCTATTTTATATCTGAATGAGTTGAGGGGAAAATGTAACCTAGACATTTTTTTTTAACAGGTACTGAAGTTTCTACATGACAAGGGATTTCCTTATGGGCATCTTCATGCCTCCAACGTGATGCTAGATGGAGACACTTGTCGGCTGCTAGATCTTGAGAATTCCTTATTGGGCCTGCCTTCCTTCTACCGATCTTATTTCTTACAATTCAGGAAAATCAATGTAAGTTTCTGAAAGTAATGAAACAGCAGATTCATTTTTAGTTATAAATGATCCCCACGGCAGAGCAGGTGATCCGCACTATGTAGAAAATGGAACAGTAGGGGTAGATCAGCCATCCTTGCCCTTATTTATCCCACAGAAGATTTCTACATCTCCAAGAATCTAAGTTGAAATGGTAGATTGAACAAGGAGGGATAACGAATCACTGATTGGAAAACCATGGAGGGAAGGACCAGGATCTTTGGTCAGAGCAATGCTTTGTGAGCTTACAAAAGGCTTTGGAATTGCATTTTTGCTGATTCGGAGTGGGTTCCTCAGTGCAAGCCTGGATGGAGCAGGACCATTGGGATTCACAAACCCAACTTTGCCATTGCTCTCTTTTCCTCCATAGACATTGGAGAGTGTGGACGTGCACTGCTTTGGCCACTTACTGTATGAAATGACTTATGGACGACCACCAGACTCAGTGCCTGTAGACTCCTTTCCTCCTTCGCCATCTATGGCTGTGGGTCAGTATGGGGTTTGGAGAGGTCTTTTGGGCCCTGGTAATCTGCAGAACTATTCCTCCCTGTTCCAGAGTTCAGAAAAAACTCAGATGTTACCATGCTCCACAGCGAGAATTCTTTTTTTTTTTTTTTTTTTTTTTTTTATTAATAGTTTTTTTTTTTTTTTTATAGAGGCATGTTTTTATTTATTTATTTATTATATTTGTTTTGTTTTTGTTTATACATGCACTGGGTACAGTCAGAAGCGCGGGAGGGTGAGAGAATTCACCAGAGCCAGAGCGGGGAGCAGAGCAGGCAGAAGGGCTGAAGTACACTGCTGAGGGGAGCAGCGGGTGGCAGGAGAGGTCTGCGCACCATGTGGGATCCTCCTCCGGTGGCCGGGGAGCAGCCAGGGATCGAACCGGCGCCGCAGAGGCCGCGGGCAGCTTCGCAACCCAGCGCTCAACTGCTGCGCCACCGGGGAGGCCCCACAGCGAGAATTCTTATTCAATGTAAAAAATGTAAACCAGATCTCAGTAATTTATTTAAATGCACTTCACTGGAAATTTACATGGCTTGTCCATTTGTCAAGCTATCTGAAACCTCAAGGGAGTTTTTGAAACATGTATTAAAATTCTGGAAGAGAAGGATGAGTAGAGTGAGTCTGGTACAGAAGAAGAAATCAGGACCAGGCACCTTGAAGCCCATCTTATGGACCCAGGCTAGGGTTAAAATTCAGACCAAGACTGGCGCAGGACCTGCCAGGAAGGAGCCTTGCAATTCCAGGGCTAGGAAAGGCAGACAGAAATGCAGATGCCTGGCAAGTGGAGTCCAGGAACTCTTCCAGCATATTAAGGGGGTTGTGGGGAGCCAAGGAACAGGTGGGAGAGATCTCTAGGAGATGGATGTAGGTAAGACTCATCCAAGGACCCTTTCATCGCTTCCCCATCCAGCTCAGAACTCACTGCTAGAGCAGAGAGGGGAGACCAGGGTAACTCTTGGACCACTGGACCTTTGAGGTGTGCAAGTCAACCCTCCATCAGCTGTTAGTTCTGTGTCACATGGGGTGGTTCAAGGGAATAGGCTCTAAGGTTACTTTGTATTGAGTTGGAACAGCTAAAACTGAGCAGTGACCCATGAGTAGAAGATATGACTGCTTTTGTTATCATCTAAGGTGTTGGATGATGAAATATCAACAATTGCCTTTCTGTGTGCTGGTTTTGATTAAAAGCAAGGCGAGCAGCAAAATGTCTTCCAAGTCCAGAATTTTATTTGTGTGTAGTATTTACTTCTCTTTTAAGAAGCAGACACTTTTATGAATGATATCTTAAATCCATCCTCCAATTATTTTTGAAATATATTTAGCTTTCTGTGCGCATGTGGTTTCTGAACCATTTATTTTGAGTCATCGGTAACGTCAGTGTTGCCAGCATTCGCCCATCGCACATACGCCATCTGTCTCTGTGTGAAGAGTTTTGACACTGTCCCCATCAGCCTGCAGACAGTGGTGGCAAAGCAGTGTCAAACTTTTCGTCACCAAGTGGATTTGCCAGCATGTTCTGTGGAACTAAAATGTGTATCTGTTCATTTCAAGTGGCCGTGTTGGAGTCTACGCTGTCTTGTGAAGCCTGTAAAAATGGCATGCCTACCGTCTCCCGCCTCTTACAGATGCCGTAAGTCAAGCGTATGCCCTGGTTGTCATTTCATAACTGTGTTGAACACTAGACCACTAACCCAAGTGCCTGGTGCTGTAGTGAAGACTCAGTGTGGTCCTTGCAGAGCCTAAGTGACCTGCTTGCTGACGGTCCATTGCTGCATGATCTCCTAACCTTTCCTTGTGACCACTCTGCTACCTTAGTCTGATTGCTGTCCTTTAACATCAGTGTCATCTTCACGTGCCTTTCCCTGTCGATGCTAGATTTTGTACATGTACATGTGGCAGCCTTAGGACCCTGTTTCAGTGCACCAGTTGGTTCACAGCTGTGAATAAGGCACAAGGTCCGCCCTCCCAGAGGAGGACGTTGTGTTTCTGGCCTCCCTTGCCCTTGTTTGTTCATTTACCCATTGGATAACATTTATTAACTACCTGACATTACCAGACTCTGTGCTAGGGAGCTTAGAGCCAGAGGTTTTCTCCTTTAAACAGGATTATGAATAGATCATGGAGGCCATGGAATAGTGCTCTGGAGCCTTCTTTTAGATATGTTTTCTACCCCTTTATTGAAAGGCAGTAGAGTGGTTAAGAAGAATGCTCCTGAGGTTAGACATATCTGGGATGGCTCCAACATTGCCATTTCTACCTGGCTGGGTGACCATGGATATGTTTACTACCTGCTGAAGATGAGTTTCCTCAACTGTAAATTGAGGAAATTATATCACCCTCTCCTCAAAGGATTTAATGAGATGATCCTAATATAGTACCAGGCAATAAATGAGTGCTTATTAAATATTAGTTATGATTAATATTGATTCAGCTTCTATTTTGTGAGCACAGTGCACCAGGCAGTATACCAGCTTGTTGTATAGCACGAGTCATTAGCAAAGAGTACTATGGGGAAACAAGGGGCTTGCCAGACTTCTGAGGTGGTAACATTTCAGTTGCCTTGTGTGTCGAGAGGGTCTGCTGTAGCCCAGGCACTGTCCTAGACCCTGAGGATCCAAGATGAACAGAGAGAGCAACCCTAGCCTCAGGCCTGTGGATGTGACATTCTAATGTTCAGATGACATTAGCATGTCCCTCTGCAAACCAGCTACCACTAATGACAGTGTGAAATGGGAGACTAGATCCAGTTAGGGAAACAAATACATTTGCAAGAAATGTTTAGAAGAAAATGCATTTGTAGCTAAGGAACAGTCTGTTTCCATGTGATTCACTTGCATTTCCACCGTCCACTCCAAGTCTCTTGCATCTTTCCTAGTCTTCCAGTTCTAAAATGAATCTAAATAATTTTTGTTCACTTAAGTCTTTTTACCCTTGGGTCTTTGGCCTCAAAAAGAGTGCTTGGAGAGCTATGAACTATGTTCAGTTGAAATGTCTTGTCTGGAAGTTAATGGACCCCTGACATTGAAGGGGAGTTTTCTCTCCATCTCTAGAGCTGCCCAAGAGGAGCACTGCGGCGGGGGGGCGGGCAAGAAATTAGCATTGTGGCTTCTACTTGTGATGCAGTTCCTATCCTTTAACAAGGGGGCTCTTCAAGCAAAGACCCACCCATGGCTGTATGGGCTCTGCCCAAACAGCCAACTAAATTCTCTAACCAGTTTTAGCCAAAGTAGCTCAGAATTCCACATGCTTTTAGTAATGTACTTTTGAAGAGAGAATTGATATACTCTAAAAACTGCTATTTCTTCCTAAGAGAGCACAAGAAACACTACTTTTCTTAAAGAAAATTACTTTCCCATTAGATTCCAATCAGAACAGTTCCTTTCATATTGCACATTTTTATTATTGAGCTTTAGGATAAATTTTATCTTCCTAGTAGGCAAAAAATATATATGAAAATCAACTATTCTGTTTAGAAATATCTGCTGCATATTATTTTAGAATATAATGAGTAGAATAGAAATAATACTATAAATATGATTTGCAAAAATAAATGTTCTCAAAGTGTTCATTAATTTACAATATAGCATAAGAGGAATGTTGCTGCATGATAGGGAAATAACCCCCAGCACAGCCCTAACCCAATCCCCCATTACACCTCTGAGATAGTGGAGAGTGAGATTTTCTCCAGGTCACACTAGTGGCCTGGAAACGCCTTTGAGCTTGTTGGTAAAGATGAAGTAATGAATTGGTCCAGGACTGGGGGGTGCAGTGGGTACCTCATGGCCTAAGAATGTCTCATGCTTTGATCCTGTTCTGAGTACACCTGGTTTAAGAAAGATTGTTTCTTTTTTTTTTTGCAGATTGTTCAGTGATGTTTTACTAACCACTTCTGAAAAGCCACAGTTTAAGGTAAAAGCAAATGATATAATTTTCTGGTTTGTCACATAAATAAAGAGATTTTGAAAATTAGGATCTTTTTTCTTTTTTAAGGAGATGCAATTGACATATAAGGAGATGCAATTGACATTAGTTTCAGGTGTACAACATAATCATTAGCTTTTTGTATATATTGTGAAATGTTTACTGCAATAAATCTACTTAAATCTGTCACCACTAAATTATAGATTTGTTTTTTCTTGTGATGAGAACTTTTAAAGTTTACTATCTTAGCAACTTTCAAATATATAATGCAATATTACTAACTATAGTCACCATACTGTATATCACATCACCCAGATTTATTTTATAACTGGAAGTTTGTGCCTTGTGACTGTCTTCACCCTCCTCCTAACTCCCACTTCCCATCCACCTCCTTGGGCAACCACTGATCTGTTCATTGTAGCTGTGAGCTCTGTTTTGTTTTTGTTTATTTTTTTTTATAGATTCTACATATAACTAAGATGATACGGTATTTGTCTTTCTCCATCTGACTTATTTCACTTAACATAGTACCCTCAAGGTTCATCCATGTTGTCACATGGCAGGTTCCTTTTTAGGGCTAAATAATATTTCTCTCTCTGTGTGTGTGACATTTTCTTTTTTTTTTTTTTTCCTTATATAGTTGTTCATTTTTGTACAATATTTGATTTCTCCCCATATGTCTAGTCCCCATAATTCTCCCACGTCTGAGGCACCCGTGACCATCACCATAGCCCCTTGTGCTCTTCCCTCCCTATTTGACTGCACTCCCTCCCCTCTCCCCTGCTGTATGCCTCAAGTCTGTAGTCAGCTTGCAAGTTTTGTCTTTTTCCTGATCCTTTGTTCGGTTTCCCTGTTTTCTCCCTATAAGTGAGACCATTCAGTATATTTTCATTTTCCTTCTGTCTTGTTTCACTGAACATAATCCCTTCCAGCTCCATCCATGTTGCCACAAATGGCGTGAGTTTATCTTTTTTTGACCGCTGAGCATTCCATTGTGTATATATACCACATCTTCTTGATCTAGTCATCTACTTTTTTGCGCATTTAAGTTGTTTTTATGTCTTAGCTATTATAAATAGTGCTGCAATAAATATAGGAGTGCAGATTTCCCTTTGAATTTGTGTTTTTGCGTTCTTTTGGTATATTCCCAGGGGTGGAATCACTGGATCATTTAGTATATCCATTTTCAGTCATATTCCCCCTCCATCCATTTTGACTTGACAATCAAAAATGTCTCCAAATGTTGCCAGATGTCCCCTAGGTGCTAAGGAGTGTAAAATCACTCACATTTAAGAGTCACTGATCTATGGGCAAGTACCTAATCTTTGAGTCTTTGTTTACTCAGCGTCTAGAATTGATGAGAAATACCTGTCTTTTGTCATTGGACAACCGAGATAATGTTTGTAATTGCCTTGTTCAGGTCTGGCTCTCATCAGCGCTCGCTGTTATCATAATTTTAGGTTTTTGAATAAGGGTAATTCTCTTTCTCTTTGTATTCCAGAAGAACATGTAATACTATTATGATGAAATTAAATTTAGGAAAAAAAACAAAACCCAAACCAGGGGTGGAGTTAGAAGATTATATAGGTGAGAGAGATGCTTTCCTCTGTTGTAGGTTACCTTTTAGAGGAGTTCTGACAATAATGGCTTCTTTGGAACAAAAGTAGGAAAGAAACACATTTAAATTCATCTCTTTCACACTGAAATTCCTCAGGAAATGTCTTCCGCCTTGTAAATAAATATGCTTTCTTCTCAGCCCCACTAGTCCAGCCCTGGGATTATTGTCACACCATATTCTTCTCCTCGACCAGAGAGTCTATAGCAAAGACAATATGATTTTTAAAATGTTTAAAAACACCCATTTTTTTGATATATGTTTTATTTCTGGAAAGACACAAAAAACTCATGGTCTCCATGGAGGGAGCTAGTTGAGAGATTTTTTACTACATGCATATTTTTTTTTTTTAAATATTGAGGAACACCTTTTCTTTTTTCTTTAAGATTTATTTATTTATTTATACAAGCACTGGGTACAGTCAGAAGCGCGGGAGGGTGAGAGAATTCACCAGAACCAGAGCAGGGAACAGAACAGGCAGACTGACGAAATACACTGCTGAGGGGAGCAGCGGGCGGCAGGAGAGGTCTGCGCGCCATGTGGGACCCTCGCTGGTGGCCAGGGATCGAACCGGTGCTGCAGAGGCTACAGGCAGCTTCACAGTCCAGCGTTCAATTGCTGCGCCACCAGGGGAGGCCCTACTACATGCATATTTTTAATAACTTGAATTTTGAACTATGTAACTATTACCTACTCAAAACTGGTTTGTATTTAGATTTTTAAAAGAATAATAAAGACAAAATATTGTGATCGATGGATGTCTGTTTATCAGACATTCTCATAATTTGAAAAACTATTAAATTCATAAATGACAGGCTCAGAAGCATACCAGGCTATTGTTAAGAATATCTTCCAGCAGGATAAGTCTTAATCTTATGAATGTCAGAAAATAAATCTTTCACAGAGATAATTTCTCTGAAGTTAACAAAATATACATGTGTACACATTCCAATAAGTTTATATTTTTTTATTTTAATTATGATAAAGAAAATAATTAAAATGTATCCTCTTAACTATTTCTAAGTACACAATTGAGTAGTGGTGATAAAATTCCCATTACTGTGTAAAAGATCTCTAGAACTTTTTCATCTTGCAAACTGAATTGCACTCCCTCTCCCCTTTTCTGTCCTTAGAAAACAGTTCTCTTTCTGCTTCCATCATTTTGACTACTCTAAATATTTCATATGAATGGAATTGTATAGTATTAGTCCTTCTGTGGCTACCTTATGCCACTTAGTGTAATGTCCTCAGGTTCATCCATGTTATAGTATGTAACAGAATTTCCTTCTTTTTTAAGGGTGAATAATATTCCATTGTATGTATATATTCCACATTTTGTTTATCTATTCATCTGTCAGTGGACATTTGGATTTTTCCCATCTCTTGGGTGTGTAGATACCTCTTTGTGACCCTGCTTTCAATTCTTTTGGATATATACCCAGAGGTGGGATTGCTGAATCATATGGTAATTCTAATTTTTTTTTTTTTTTTAAGGAACTTCCATGCTATTTTCCATAAGAGCTGTGCCATATTACCTTTTCATCAACAGTGCACTAAGGTTGCAATTTTTTCACATCCTCATCAACACTTATTATTCTCTGTTGTTGTTTTCTAGTGGTATCTCATTATGGCTTTTATTTGCATTTCTCTAATTATTAGAGATGTTGATCATATTTAAATATGCTTATTGGCCATACATATTTATCTTCTTTGAAGAAATGTGCAGTTTCTTTGCCCATTTTTCCCCTTTGATTTTCTGATTTTTTTCAGCTTTATTGTGATATATTCCATTGTTTTATAACAAATGTACTTTGTCATTAGGTTTAGTATTTAACCAGTTTTTCAGTTGAGTTATGTATTTTGTTGTTGAGTTGTAGGAGTTCTGTTTGTGTCCTGGATATTAACTCCATAAGATTTATGGGTTTTTACCTTCTATTCCATATTCTATTCTTTTCACACTGTTGATTGTTATTAAGTTTTCTGTCATACCATTTGTCTATTTTTGCTTTTGTTGCCTGTGCTTTGGGTATTCTATCCAGGAAAGCATTTTCAAATCCAATATCATGAAGCTTTTCCTACTTTCTTCTGGGTGTTTTATAGTTTTAGGTATTACATTTAGATCTTCAATCCAATCTTGGGTTAATTTTCATATATGGTGCATATTAAGGGTCCAGCTTCATTTTTTTATATGTAGATATACTATTTTCCCAGCACCATTTACTGAAGAAACTGACCTTTTCCCTATTGTGTAATTTTGGCACCCAAAATGAAGGTTTATCTCTAGGCTTTATATTCTTTTCTATTGTTCTGTATGTCTGTTTTTATACCAGTGTTGCATTGTTTTGATTACTATAGCTTTATGATATATTTTGATATCAGGAAGTGTGAGCTCTCCAATTTTTACCTTTTTTCCCAAGATTGTTTTAGCAATTTGGAGTCACTTAAGAAGTACTAGAATTACTTGAAATGTATACCATGTTTACTTGTGTGTTGGTTTTATATATTCATTGCTAAAAATGCTAATGGCGTGAGTATATTGGGGATACTAAATGTGGCAGGGATAGGATCTAAGTGGACAGCTTGTAACTGATTTTATTCTAGTTATTCTCCTTCTTGATAGCATGTTGCTCCTTTATTACAACTTGAGAATATCCAGCCATTTACTCAATGGATTATGTATTTTCTCTTCTTTCAGATCCCCACAAAGTTAAAAGAGGCATTGAGAATTGCCAAAGAATGTATAGAAAAAAGACTAGTTGAAGAACAGAAACAGGTATTTGCTAAAAATTCATTACCTTTTGATCTTTCAGTATCCCATCCTCTGTTGTGTTAATCACAGTGATTTACTTTTGACTGATTGTTCATTCCATAAACATTTCTTGCATATTTGCTCTGAACCAAGTTCCAGGCTTGATCCTGTGAGACAGCTGAAACTTCACAGCCCTGCTCTCTTATCAGCTCAGCCTATAGGAGATACAAGAATGTCCCCAAAAGAGGGTTATCCTTTGTGTTTAGGCCAAGCTGGGTGATGGAGGGGCAGTTATAGTCCATGCTCTGAAGATACTGGGAACCACACTCATCTTTAAAAGAGAGAAAGGCAAGAAGGAACTGGGAAGTAGGAAGATTTCATACTCTGGCATATTTTCTCTGAAACATCCAGACCTAAGCTTGGAGGCAGACAGGCTGAGTAAGGAAAGATTTTTTTCATCCAAGTAATTTGACTTGGCAAAGCATGATAGGGATTTTCATTAGCACAAGGTACACTTACATTTGTGGTGAACTGTGGTCTCTTAAAGATTCACCAGCATCGAAGACTAACAAGAGCTCAGTCTCATCATGGATCTGAAGAAGAAAGAAAAAAGAGAAAGATTTTAGCTCGAAAGGTAAGCCTGGTGTCTCTCTGAAGTCTCTCTAAGAATTCTTCGCAACATGAGAAGGAATTTCTAAGTTAATGATACACATTTTGTTAATGACAGATTTTGTGCTGTTTTCTCCTTGAAAGTTAACAACTGTTTTCACATGACTGGTTTGTAGTTGTTTTTTTTTTAAGATTTATTTATTTTACAAGAACCAGGGTATAGGCCAGAGGCACGGGAGGGTGAGAGGATTCACAGAGACAGAGCGGGGAACAGAACAGGCAGACTGATGAGAAACACACTGCTGAGGGGAGCAGCGGGCACAAGAGAGATCTGCCACGCTGTGTGGGACCCTCGCCAGCCGGCCGGGATTGAACTGGCGCTGCAGAGGCTGCAAACAGCTTCACAGCGCAGCGCTCAACCGCCTGCGCTACCAGGGGAGGCCCACTGGTTTGTAGTTTTTGAAAAGGAGTTCTATAGTAGCATCAGTGAAGTGAACCACACAGTTTTCGGGCCTGCTGGGCTGATTCTGGCCTGACGTAATTGGGGGAAACAATTGGCCTGAGGTAGTGAAGTCAGCATTCTTGGGTTTGTTTTTTCCCCCCTTTGGTTTTGGCTTGTGGCTTCTTCACTATTTTTAGTGATGAGGCCAGATAATGACCTTGTCTGTTACTAGCTTAACTGTATCCCTGGAAAATATTTTAACTCCCAGCTTCAATGTGTTTATTCTTTGCTTTTCTCTCTCTCTCTCTCCTTTTTGAAGAAGTCAAAACGATCTGCTGTTGAAAACAGTGAAGAACATTCAGCAAAATACAGCAACTCCAATAATTCAGGTAACTTGTTATAGATTGTAAGGGAGCCCAGGATCAAAAGGCCAGGACTAAGAGTCAAGAATTCTTGTCTTCTGGTGGCAGAGACTGGGTGGTGCAGTAGTGAATGTAGACAACAAAAGAACTCTGTCCTAATGAAGGATTGTGACAGTATTCATAGGGATACTGGCAGGGCCCTCAAACTCAGCATTTTCTCTAATGGCGAGACTCGATTAATCAAAGATGATCATTAGCCATGAGAAAAAACTCACCCAAGGCCTCCTGTTTTTCAGTAAAGCATATACAAGCAGAAACTGCCTAAAATCCTTCCATATACTCCAGTTCCCCAACCCCCGCCCCCTCGCCCCATGGTAGGATGATGTAATCCCCTCCTGAGTAGATTAAGGGAAGCATGTGGGCTGGTAAAATCTTTATTCAAGAAGGCCTGAGATGGTAACAGAGAGCTCTGTCTTGACCTCCCTGGCACTCCCGGCTATTCCTTATCTAGCCCTGCTTTGGGCCTTAATATACCCATCTTTGGAAATCAAGCCCAGATTGAGTGATGCCTTGGGGTATTCTACTTCTTCTACCTTGTGAATCTGTGGAATAGAGTTCCACAAAAAGAAGGGGAGACAATCCTAACCCAGGCAACTTTGGCTTAATCTTGGGGGGGCCTCAGGGAGGAGAGGGCTTTAGGTTGAGGTATAGCTGTATATACATTCAGGCAGAAGAAGGACCTGGCAGAGGGAGAAGCCGAAGATACTAAAGAGAGTGATGGAGTGATTGGAGCAGGATGGAGGTGGGCAGAAAGCCAAGGGGCTTAGCATCAAGAGCCCAGCTGGCAGTCTCAGCCCTAGAGGAAGCCCACCAGCCCATCTATCTTCCCTCGAGGCAGAAGCCAAGAGGCAGAGGTATTTAAAAGTGGAAGGAAGGGAGGAAACTGAGTGTTCACATTCATGCCCTCTCAGTCTTCTAGGTGAAGTCGGTGAGGAGGATGTCTTCTGGGGCACAAGGAGAAACAGTGAAGGGTGGACTAGCCACAAGATGTGAAGGGTGGACTAGCCACAGCTAGAGAATGCAGATGGTGTGGGCAAGAGATGGTAAGAGCTGGGAAGGAGGAAAATCAGACTCCAGAAGGAGGGTGAGCATCATGCTGACACCACTGCCTGCAGAATCTAGGCCAGAGAAGGGCTCAGGGAGACCAAGAAGGGAAGAGAAGGAGGGAAAGCCCCAGCCCTGGAGGTCCAGTGAGGACCAGGGCAGGCCCTTGTTATGGAGGCTAGGAGAGGAGAGAGGCAGGATGCTGTTGTGGCTGGTGGGTACTCTCAGAGTTGGAGGTCTGTTTTCCTCATGGTTGATGGGATGGACATGGGCCAGATTATCATCATTAGGCCGAGACTTGTGTCTCCAACCTGTATGTCTGGCAGGCATTCTGTTCAGCAGCTAATTCTTTATAAATAAGAGGAAGGCTGTGTTTTCTGCTTCCAGAGGCCCTGCCTGCCTGCAAGGGTTTGTGCCAGATGCATCCAAATAGGATTCTGAGGACTCCAGTACACAGCCTTATCTCAAGGAGTTTAGGAGAGTAAAGTGCACTTGATGGAAATGAACAGATCATCTCCAGAGCCCATTGGAATCACAAGTTTAATCTCCCCATTGAAATCTGTGTGAGCACTACAAACCAGTATGAAAATAGCATTAGTTGAGTTTTACCTCCTTTTTCAGTAAAATTCTTCTCATGATTTATAGGAAGGTAGTAGAATGCTACAAATAGTAGAAAAGCGGTGTGGTTTAATTAGGACATTAATTCTCATGCTCGCTGTCCACTTCATGCCCAAAAAGAGCTATGGGTCGTGGATGAGTGGTGGTTGGAGATGTCTCCGGAACAGCTAGTGGCTTCTTGAGGGCGTGATCACAGCCCTCCCTGGAGCTTAACCCTGAAATAGGACCTCCATGTGGAGGAGGAAGCTTATGTAGGGACCTCCATGTGCTCATTGGGCTACTTCCATGTCAGCCAAGAAAGAGATTTTATGGAGATTTCTGAGCAATGTGGAGGTGCTGAGAACTTGGGAATATTTGAAACATAACAAGGTGACCTAGGTTCAGAAAAAGTATGCAACATATAGGAATAGGCACATTGTTTTAATATAAATAAGGGGTGTTACTGAATTTTGGGGTAGAAAAGGCCTAGGAAATTCACACAGTGAATAGGCTGAGCCTATGTAATTGAACATACTACTGATAAACTGGAACTTCTACAGAGGGCATTATTGGGGGGATATGGTGGGGGATTCTCACCTACTTTGGAAAGGCCTCCACCACACTGGTGTGCACCTCTGTCCCCTGGACTGCTGTGGTCACTGTCGTTTTGTCAGTCATTACCCAGGAACAGGCGTTGGGTCAGGAAGAGATGCTGCAGCCAATTGCCTAAGTTGTCAATTACGCAAAGTTGATTTCAAACCAGACCGCAACGGGGAGCAGTGGCAGACCTTGAGCCTTTTGTGGCTGGGGAAGGAAGCTTACTGAGCACTTGGTGGCAGCCATGGTCATTGGTTCTATGTTCTAGTCCCAACATTCTTTGGACCTCTTTAGCTTTTACCACAAGGCCTACACACTAAGCTATGTGCAGATTCTTAGACAACTGTGGGTCCCAGGTTGGGCATTTAACCCCATGATGGTTTCTCTGTGTTTTCTCTTAGCAGGATCTGGGGCCAGCTCACCTCTCACATCCCCTTCATCACCAACCCCACCTTCTACAGCAGGTTAGTGATGGAGTCAAAGCAGCCTGCCTCCTCCTTCTTTCCCCCACAGGAGGAGGACTTTCTTTTCCCACCTTGACTCACACATTTCAGGGGTTCTTATAGCACCAGCCTTCCCCAGAGAAACCAGTGGGATGCAAGTTAGTGGTGTCACTTGGGAGAGCTTAGTGCCTAGATATCTAAAGTTGGATTTCACAGGGATTGGAATAATTGCTTTCAGGGCCACTAACCCTCTGCCTCCAGCTACAAAGCTTCACACAGGGCTCCTGGGATCAGAGCTTGTCTTGCTAAGAGCTTAATCAAACAAAACAAACGTTGGCTGTCCAGGGGCCCTTCCCACCCAAGCGCTCTCCTCAGGGAGCCCAAACATAATGGGGTTGTGGAATAGGGGTGTAATAACCACCCAGCTTCTGATTTCCTGATAACTATTTATATTCTACTCTGTTCTGCAGTGCATTTAGTCTTTTGAATATTTTTCTGTGGCTAGCCTTTGTTTTGCCTTTGTGAATTAAATACTGTGTTTTGTTTGAAAAATGTAAAAGGAAAATCAGAAAGAATATGTACAAAAATCTCAAATTCTGTGGTTTCACAATGCTCTCTCTCCTTCTTTCCTTTTGAACCAGTTTCTCTCTCCTAACCATGTTGTAAGAACACATTGGGGCCACCAGTGTCTCTCTTTTCACTTCTTTAAATGAACCAGATGTTTTAGGTGTCGAGGAGCTGGTTCTGCCCCTCTGAGCTTATAGGCTATGCTTGGAAGAGTTGTTGCAGCTGAGTAGAAGGAATCATTGGCAGGGGTTGATTTATGAATTGATGATGCCATATTCATTGAGATTAAGATGGCACCCAGGAGCTGCCAAGAGCGCTACTGACCACTCTCAAATGCTTCTGACTGACCTGCCTCAAAAAAATGACAAGCAATATAGGACTAGTTTGAATGAATTACTTCTGGCTGGAGGGTGTCTCTCCTTGCTGCGGGTGCTCACTGGTGACTTGCTGAGAGTATTCTGCGACCAGAGTATTCTGGGACCTATCTGAGTCCTTAGTTCATGAGGATGATATTTTTTTCCCTGTGTGGCTTTGTCAGAATATTTTTATTAGAAAGTCCCCAAATATTGATCAAGACAGAAAATAAACTCTTTCATAGAGGGGATCTGTGTAAGCTGATCAGAAATTTCTAGAGATCCACTACCTAGCTCCTGTGAAACCATTTTCTAGAAGACAGGATATTAATTTCACACCCATTAGATACATCAAGGAAATTGGAGAGAATAGAATTCATAAACTTGATTTAAGAAATGAGGCTTAGTCGTATAGAGCACCTCGCTGTGTGCATTAGATGTGGTGCTGGGAAGTTAACTACCAGTTCTCATTTTCAAATGCCTTGGGGAATTCACAATCTACTTGGATTTCTTCATGAATCATCTAATTTTCCTGTGTTTTGAAGGAGAGTTATTTCATACAGTTAGCAAATTTGCATGACAAGAGGTAACTTTTAGAATGAGATGAGAAGAAAAAAGAAGAGTCTTTAGTAATTAGAGTCAGCATTGGAAAAACTTCATCTGAAGTGGGTGGGAGCAGTGGGGGGCATTGCTGTGAATCTGACAACACCCATCCTGAAGGGATGGGGCCCTAAGCACGATGCCTGGCAGAGATGAGCCTTACACAGCAATACTGGCTCCTCTTTCCTTTATCTCCTTTAATGTTTTGTTGATGAAACTATTGATTTAGCCCCAAACACTGTGCTCTTGTTACAGGGCAGGGAGAGGGACAGCCCAAACCCCGCAAACCTGCCTATTCTAAATGGGTTCTGCCATCCGCCGCATCAACACAAAACATATGAGACTTTAATGGGAAGGAACTTTAATACAACTAGGAAACAATACAGGAAAGGCAAAGAATCTAGTTTCTAAATCAGGCACCCAAAGTTACCCGTCCCCTCGTGGGTAAAACTCCATCCAAATGGGATTGGCCGAGAGCAAGGCCCCAAAGCCTGCCATAAGTCTAAAGCATCTTCCAGTGGGGACCCACAGAAAAAGGGTCAAAAACAACCAGACAAGCCCGGAAGGAAAAGAGCAAAATCAAAATTAAGATAAAAGCTGCCATTGTCTCCTCCCCACGGGTCTCACCCACATCTGTGTCACCCAGTCCACGACAAAAGGCAAGCGCAGTTTCTTCACATGTCTCTTGGCCCCACGTGCCTCCTCCAGATCTCTTTCAGGCTCTCCATCTTGCTTCCTTCCTTCCTCAGTCTCCTCTGCAGCTTCTTCTCTTCCTGCTTAGCTCCACCCTCCATTTGGGTGGGGCAGGGAACCTGGAACCTCCCCCTTTCCTGGGGACCACCCTGGTACAATCCCCCGTTTTAATTTTTATTACACTCTGACCTCTTCTGGGCATTTATTATAATGCATCTCATAAAAACAGCAAATAGCATTGCCTGCCTAGCTTTTCAGGCCCTAAACAAGGCACCCCATATTGAGGTGATGCTTTCAGTTACTTGAGATGCATCTGTTGTGAGCCCATGGTATGCCAGCCACTGTGCCTGGTCCTGGGTGGCAGAGGTGGACAGCCAGACAAGGCCCCGGCTGGCGTGGTCTAGTGCCTCTCAGGAGCTCCAAAATGATAGACACAATTCAAACAGATGTTTGCCTTGGGATCCAACCATGGCATTTTTTTCTCCCAGTAGTCCACTTCTTAAATAGAGGATTTCCACCTGAAAACTTGTCACCAACAAGCAACACCCAGAGCTTCTGTTCTGTGCAAGACATCAGGGAGATGGAAATAGGTAGCAGCTTCGAGCGATGCAGGTGCACACGCTGATCCATGGGAGAAGCTCAGTAAATTCTTACTGGTGGATTTGCAGTGGTTTGCTCTGCCCCAAAGGCTCTGCTGAGTGAGTGAGGGTACACTTGCAGCCTCAGGGCTGCCACTTCTAGCAGGCTTACCCTGCTTGGCTGGGCTCCTCCTTCCAGAACAAGAGGCTGGTGTTCTCTTTAGGTTCATCTTTAAGCTCTCTGCACACTGCCTATCTTGTTAGAATTGCATTTACTCCAAGTTATGTCTTTATTTTTAGGCCAGGCTTATGGTTTTAAAAGAAAGCATGCATTTCAGGAACTAAGGCAGGGGTGGTGTCATCCAGCTTTATGATGAAATGCAACTTTCTCAAGAAATGAAGGAAAAATTTTCACTTTCAAGGGCTGGTGTTGAAAAGGCATTCCTTATTAGGTGGATTTATAAAGGTGGCATCTCAACTCAACCTGGGAGTCCTTGGGAACTAAACCCAAAGGCCATCACTTGCTACTTTTGGAAACTTAGAAAAGACACTTCACCTCCCTGTGTTTCAGGTTTCCCACTTGCCAATGAGGGTAATAGGAATGTCAGTCCTGTTGGGTTATGATGATTATCCAGTGACTTCCATGTGCACAGAGGTTAGAACAGTGCCTGGCACAGGAACTCCATACACTGTGACTGGGAGACCTGGAATGAGTCATTTTCTGTGCAACGTCTTGGTTACCCTATCTGTAAAAGGCAAAAAAGTGGGAGCTACAGGAGACCAATGCAGTCCCTTCTAATCAAGCATACTCTAAATCTGTCTTGGCCCCTGCCCTTAGGCATTTTGCTATGCAATAGATCAATTTTAGGCAAGTTCAGTTTGACAGCATTGCCTTTCTTCCTCAAAGCATCCATTTTAAGCACATTTATGGTCACTGAGTGTGGTCTTAAGCTCAGTTACTCTTTGGATGGGGCAGAAGTGATAGATGTTTCTAAGTGAAGGGGTCTTTCTCTCATGAGCCATTTTCTAGCTTTTAATAAGGCCGGGCCCCTCCTGTTCTTACTGGACCTCCCTGCAGTGGGACCCTCTTCCTAGGATCTTTACCAAACTGATGGGAGGGACATTATCTCCCTTCCTGCTAATGATCCCTCAGATGGGTTGCAAGTCTCTAAAGCTATTTATTTATTTCTTTTTTCAGTGAAAACATTCTTAGCACTTTTTTTTTTTTTTTTTGCTAAAGGTTATGTTTCCTGAATCTAGAAGGTTGCTCTTTCAAGAAATTTAAAATTCTTTATCCTGACTTAGTGGTAAATGTCACCAACTAGTGTTTACTCTTTGGATTTATAGAACTGAGTGGTTTAGAAGCTGATTTTTCCTCCCATCCTCCTTTTGGGAGCAGACAGACCTGTTGCCTTGCTAATGTGTTAAAGAACCACCACCACCACCACCAAGAAACAACAGACAGACTTGCAAAAGCGTATGTTGGGAAAGTTAAGTAAGGTGGAGATCGTAAATTATTGGGGTTTTTAATAAACATATTTAACATATTGAGGCACTATTCTAAGTGATTTATACTCATTTTGATTAATCCTTTTGAATACTTTCCCATCCAGTGAAAACAGATTCTACTGTAGCTACATTTTTTTTTTTTAAAGATTTATTTATTTATTTATCTATTATACAAGCACTGGGTACAGAAGCACGGAGGGTGAGAGAATTCACCAGAGCCAGAGCGGGGAGCAGAGCAGGCAGAAGGACCGAAGTACACTGCTGAGGGGAGCAGCGGGCGGCAGGAGAGGTCTGCGCGCCATGTGGGACCCTCCTCTGGTGGCTGGGGAGCAGCTGGGGATCGAACCAGTGCTGCAGAGGCTGCTGGCAGCTTCGCAACCCAGCGCTCAACCACTGCGCCACCGGGGAGGCCCTGTAGCTACATTTTGCAGATTAAACAGAGGTTCTTAAGGGGGATAAAGGACCTGGACCAAGGTCACACAAGTAGGGGATGCTAGAGCCAGGATTCAAACTTGGTCTGTCTTTGTTCACAAATACCCAGTGAAAACTCCACTCATTTTTTAGGGTGTTCTTGGATGCACTGCAGGCCTGTATTGTTGTTAAACAATTATGCTTGCTAACAGGAAAAAAACCCTGAAAGTCAAGTCCAAAAACCTGGATTTGGGTCCTAGCTCTCCCAATTTCCAGTTGTGACCTTGGACAAGTAATTTCCATTCTTTGAAGCTATCTCCCAAAAGATTTCCTGGTCTGTATGAAGTAGATAGTGTACACAACAGGTTTTAAGAGCAGTGAATTATCATTAGTTACAATCTAAGAATACTCTACAGGAAAATTCTAGCCCAAAATTAAGGAGTAATTTTTTTTCATTTTTATTTATTTTTTTCATATTAATTTCTTTTATTTTTTATATCATTGTTCATTTTTAAACAATATTTGCTTCCCCACCCCCTCAGGTGTAGTTCCCATAGAGTTTCCTTCACCAATGCCCCCGTGCACCATCACCTCAGTCCCCTGTGCTCCTCCCTCCCTCCCTCTGATCCCTTTCCTGCCTCCTCCCCTACAGTATGTCTCTGATTTATAATTGTCCATTTTGTTTTTTGTGTTTTGTAGTTATTTTTTTTTTACACTGATGTCTTACTGGGTTCCCCTATATTCCTGCTATAAGTGAAACCATCTGATATTTTTCTTTTTCCTTCTGGCTTATTTCACTGAGCATAATTCCTTCTAGTTCCATCCATGTTGCTACGAATGGCATGAGTTTATCATTTTTGATTGCTGAATAATATTTCATTGTGTATATGTGAAGAGAGCCAGCAGGGTAGTTTGTAGAAAACCCATTCTGTAAGAACAAGCTGGGAGAAAGTTAGGTTTCTTATCTAGAGCTGGAGGAGGGAAAACAGAGCTCTGTGGGCACAGTGAGGGAGCACTTAATTAACAAGTAAATGAGGCACACAAAAAGAGATGGATACTTAGACTTTTGGATGTTCTAGAATTTGTCTATTAAATCAAAATCTGAAGCCCATTCTAGGCTCAAAATTGATGTCTCTGAAAGGGTCACAATTGTGTTACAAGCCAGTGCATTTTGTGGTTAACTTAAGTATATTCCTAGTTTGGTGGTGAGAATAACCAGCATGTGATTCAGACTAATATTTTACTGTCTCTTTCTGTTGGCTTAAATGACACTAAAATCTGAATAATGACTGTTCTCCCCTCCCCCCTCTCTTTGCTGTCTTCAGTAGAGCATGCACCATTTTGAACGTGAATTTTCGGTAAAGTAAGCTATACTGATTTCTCTAACTTTAAAGATGCTCTGTTTCTGTTTGTGCAATGGGACCCAGTGCTTTTAGATCACTGAAATGATGACCAAATGGGAAAGCAAATCCAAAACAATTTCCTTATCTGAACATTTAAATGAAATGCAGCATCTTTAAAAAGCACCCAAGTGACTTTATATTCATTTCATTTTCATCATGACCTTCAAAATCTTCATTTCCACTGTGATTTTAGTTGTGAAATACAGTACTAAAACCTGCAAATCAGCTGCATGGCTTTTGGGTATATTTTAATTTTGGAAACCCATATCTCAAAGTTCGGTTGAAAATGTTGGTTTCTTATTACTCTGATGAAAGGGGAAGGGTGTTAGGAAATAGAGTTTTTGGTTCTAGGGAGGCAACTTACTTTTATACCTGATACTAGGGGAAACTTTTTTTTTTTAAAGCACCCTTAATAGTTCTTGCGTTGGGATGTGAGAACAGCCTCCTCATTCGTCTGAGGCAAAAGGTGAAGGTAGTCCCAAGAGCTGGGGGCTGCCTGCTTTTAGGGGTCACTGCTCTTCATTCCCCTTCAAGGGTAGCTGGTAGGTATGTCACTCTGGTAGCCACATGGCCTCCCCACCTCTGGACCACAAAGGAACTGAACTGGTCAGGCCTCTGTGAGTAGACGGGGACCTGTAGATTGCCCACTGCTAAAGTTGGCTCCAAGGAGAGCACCCTCAGTCCTTTCCATTAGGCTGGTGAGATGCTTCTGGTCCAGCGTTCCTCCCTAGATCTCACCCAAGTTCGTTTGGAGAATAAGGTTGCTGGAGGGTGTAGCAGTTGGCTCTTGGGGTTGTTGTCTAAGAGAAAGTGAGATTGGAGAAATCAGGATTGATTATAATTGCAGATAATCATCCTTCCTCCTAAGTTGCTGCAGGCCAGTGCTGGATAGTTCAGCTGGCAGTTCATCTAACACGGAATCTGTCCAGTTTGTCTGGACATGCCCCCTTGCTGGGGTAAGGGCTAGCAGAGGCTCTTTGGTGGGAGGAGCTCTTTCACATGAGGAGTGAGAGAGCTCAGGCAGTAGGCAGTTGTTCCCCATTTTGTCACAGGCCAAACAGCCAACGCTGGATTTAGTCCTTATTAGCGCATTCCCCTCCCCTTATTACCAATGTGTTGTAGCTGAAGCCCCAAAGAACCTTTAAAGGAAGATTATGGACCATAGAAAAGGCAAAAAGAAAGAGTAAAAAGAAAATATCCAATGGGGCCTGTAGTCAGAGACTGAATTCCAAGTCTGTGTCCCTGCTCCTCCAGTACTGACCTGGTGACTCCTGGACCTCCTCTCCCCTCCCACTGTTCTGAGCTGGCAAGCAGAGCTCTAGCCTTGCTCGCCTTAGTCAGACAGATCAAAATCTGCACTAGTTTCCGCAGGTGTGGGAAGGCAGAGTGGGCCTGCTGTTCTCTTGGTCTGGCCTCTGTGAGTGGACATCAGGTGACTTGCTCCTTACTCCTGGGATGAACAGCCTCTTCTTTTGTACAACCCCCAGCATCCTGTTTGCTTTATAGGCACAGGTCACCCTGTGGTGCTTTGGCCAGTGTGTTTATTTGCATTACCTACATATTCAAAGAAATTCATTAAATGTTGAAATAATTTCAACCTTTACTTGGAAAATAAAGATCCATTTCCTGAACACCACCCCTAACTCCAAAGCTCTGTGGTAGTAAATTGATATTTCTAATTTTGAGTGTCTGGTAATAATGCCAAAGTCAAGTGTTGATTCCTGCTCAGAGCCAAGCAGTTTTATTCTGGGATGAGAGGACAGCCCCATGCCCAAGTTCAGTCCCTGGTCCCACCTCTTGCTTCTGGAATCTTGGAATAGAGGGGAGCTGTTCTCTAGGTGGTCGCCTCTGCGCCTTTAGTAGAATACTAGAGTGCAAAGTGCTTTCGTAGCCTGTTTTCTCATCTGTCACTTGCACTGACACTTCTGCAAGGGTTAAAGCACAAAGCCAGGATGCAGGAACACTGGTGCTCATTCTGGTGCACACTGGGGCCTGAAGGTCAAGTCCAGATTCCACTGCCCCTTTTTGGTCATGGGAGGGCGGGGGTTAGGAGGTGGGTATTGGGTGCCCTCTCACTCCTTGCTGCAGTTAAATTCCAAGAGCCTTTAAAGCAATCTCCCATCCTGCTCCTATTTCACTAGTCACTACCCAAAAACCCCCTTCTGAGGAGTGCTTATGTGCCCCTCTGAGGAGTATTCATTGTCTCTGCTCTTCTCATCTCGACACTCATTTCAGGTTTAAAGTTCTTTTCAGCTGTCTAACTGTAATGGAAAGCCAGGAACATTTTTTTCACATTCCACCTTGGCATGGAACTTCATTCATTACTTGTTACTGTGTGAAACAGTGAAAATTACATGTTGCTCGTTTGTCTGTAATGCTTATATGTATTGCTCTATTATCATTATTTGAGAATTCTAAGATTACAGAGCATGAAAGTGTATGTGTGATTCTTTAATTTCAGCTGCCTTAGGTTTGGGTAAAAGAAGGTAAGTGGTTTTCTATGAAATACAAGGCTTTAAAACCCTTGCCTGTCACACTTAGTAAAAAAAGAATGCACACATCTAAGTTTTTGATAAGTATTAATGAGTTCTAAGTGGTAATTGCTATCACCATAGTACAGTAGCAGTTTAAGGAGGCAGCCACCCAGCAGAGCCATCCAGGCACAGCCCCTAGGAGGGGGTCAAAGGTAAGAATAGAAACAGGTAGTTACCAAAAGCCATAACATTCACAGGAGATGAGGAAACTAACCCTGTGGCACAGGCAAGTTCTTGAAAGCAGAACTTTTTCTGTACTTGGTATTTATATTTCGTCCAGAGAGAACTATTCATTCATTGATTCAAAACAAGAAAATTCAAGTGCCAAATGTTCATGTGTCAGGCAGCTAAGGGATGATTTAGATTGCTGTCCAGTTTTCTTTGCATTGCCCGCTAGGGTAGAGCTGGACATTCTAGTCTATACTGATGAATGAGCATAGGTGTAGGATTAGCATAATCCCATTCTGCTCTTGGTTTGACCACCAAGGAAAGAAGTCTTGAGGAAGCGCCTCCCTGAGAATACCACTGCCAGGAAAGAAAGCCCTTTATCCCCTGCTTTGGTTGCCAACAATTATTAGCATTTTATATTTCTTTAGTGCAGAATAATATGAAATGATTATTTGAGACAGATGCCTCTGGGGAATCTATAACTAGCAGGCACTGGTTCCTTTCTGAGAACCAAGTTGGTTTGTCACTTTATATTAAATCACATATCCTTCAAGTATTGTTGTATGTTGAAACAGCTAAAAATTATCCATTCCATTTTAGTAATTGATATTCAGGTAGCCCAACTCTGCACGCACAGATGTCTGTATTTAACTGCTAGCTCAGGAATAGATGGAGCTGCCCGGGATATGGCTAAAGTAACTGATGGAACTTTTCTTTTGGGACCATTACTAAAATTTGAAAATGGAGTTAGAGCCTCATGAGAGGATGTCACTGTGTAGTTTCCTATAGCCTGTGATATTTGTTCAGTCTTTTCTCACTTGACTGTTACTTGGGGGAAATGTCAACCTTTATTTAATTTCCCCTTGATGCTTCTAGCTTTCCTGTTTAGTATTTTAAAAACCATAGTGCTGGGTGTCTTGGTCCCCTGAGGAAGAACACTTTCAATCTCAGCAAAGTACATTCTGCCAAGGACTGAATAGTAGCGTGTGTGAAAGGTGTCGGCGAGATGGTACTGATTGTCACTTTTCCTCCACAGGGATATCTGCATTACCTCCACTTGCTCCACCTCCGCCTCCACCTCCACCACCAGCAGCTCCCTTGCCTCCTGCCAGCACAGAGGCGCCCACACAGCTCCTGCCCCAGGCTGTGAATGGCATGAGCAGAGGGGCCTTACTCAGCTCCATCCAGAATTTCCAAAAGGGAACTCTGAGGAAAGCTGAAACCTGTGATCACAGTGCCCCCAAGATCAGCTAAAAGCTTTGTGTATACACTTGGGGGGAGAAGTTCTATTCTTCCCCTCCCCAGGTACCCTCTTCCTGGATGAACTGCTGAGCCAGTACAGCCACATTTTGCAGAGGCTTACCTATGAGGCTTTTCAAGAGGGAAATTTTCTTCAAGTAGAATAAAGACAGGCTGGCTCTGCTGCCTTAGGAAATATTTTGCTCCTTTATTAAAGGAGACTTGTTCATCCTCTGATGGGCATCCTGGGGCAGCAGCATATTGAAATCAGTATTTTCACAAGTGAAGGAAAGACAAAATAACAAAAACAATGACAACATTCAGTCAGAGTGAACGGCCTGTGTGTTGTAGTCCCTTCTAACCTGTCAGCTCATTGAACCGTGTTCTTCTCATAGTTCATTTCTCTATCCTAAAGCATTTTCCAGTTATTTCTTAGGTAATTACCATTTTTGCTACCTTAATTTCATCTTAGACATTAACACTGTAGCCCGAAGCATAGTTATGTCACTGAGTCAGAGATGCAACTGAGTTCATTTTCCCCATAAATAGAATGGGGGAAGCTTGTAACATTCTGTATGTTCTAACAGGAATGCCATTATGATAATAGAACTCAGGGCTGCTAAGACAACTACTCTAGACTCATAGTTCTTTTTAGTTAGAATGTATTAAACAGACAAGACCTGGTAACATCAGAAAAAACTCTTGCCAACTAGATCTTCTTAATCCTCAGCAATTAAGTCAAGTTTGAGGTGTGTGGGAGTTATTATTACAATACAAGTAAATTTGGTATCTATAGAAATCAATTCTGATTTTTGAAAGATTTACCCAAATACATCACCTTTGTAATATTACTCATTTATAGGAAAGATCCTTTATCCTATGATTTGCTTAAACCCTTAAATAAATTGCACTTTAAAGGATTATAAATAATCCATTTAAAAATTCAATTACACACCATCAGTGTTGGTTACTATGCAGAATGTCATTGTGTACAGTTTCATGTAATCTGTGATAAATGTTCAACTGTATTTTTTATTAAAGTAAACCAAGAAAATGTGTTGTCTTAGCTTGGCTTGGTATTTTAAATGATAGCTTTTGTAGCACTGATGTAAACAGAGAATAGATCCATACAGTATTTCTGAAGTTTTCTTCCCATCTGTCCTCTCTGTTTTCTTTTGTCATGTTTTCCCTTTTAATAAGAGCTAACAATCCATCCTACTATTTAAGTTAGGGATCACTTGTATTTATCATCTTTTTTTGACAATGGGAAAAATACCTGACATGAATTTTGCTTTAATTTGGAAGGAACTCTCTTATAACCAGACCTTTGAAGAGTGTGTGGACAAGTTCCTGTTGTGTGATGCAGTCTAGGTGACTGATGATTAGTGATTAGTTCCTGGTGGCACTAATTTAATAGAATTTTAAGATTCCCACCCCACATTTGTTATTTCAAGACTGTAAAAACTTCATAGTTAGGAATTCCTTTATTCCTTATCAAAAAAAAAAAAAAACTTAACAGTAAATGTAGATTATATGCTTTTATTTTACATACAACATTTTTGGGATATATCTTACTCTGCCACCTTCATATCTTATCCTTCTAGTCAAGGGTAAAATTTTACATTAGTCTTATCAAAGAACATGGTCACTGTAACAGACAAAAAAAAAAAGCCTAGGAAAGGAGAATGGAGTTTTTCCACATAGAAGCACATTTACACTTCTTCCCAGTACAAAAACACCTGTGTTGCTGCTTTAGAGATAACTTTGAGTCATATGGTATTACAGTACAATTCAGGTAAAGTGTCAGCAAGTATTTTAAGTAAATTCCAATGACTTGAAATTCAAGTCCAAACTAGATATTTAATGTTTTCTTTATTGCAAATATGATGTCTTTCACCTGAGGCACAGAGTTGTCTTCTAAAATCTTTGCATAAGGCATAGGGACATCAGCACCAGTGACACGAACTGCAGGAGCATCCAGAAAATTGAATGCTTGCCCTAGAAGAGAAGGAGGCCCGACTGAGATAAAGACAAGATAAGCCAGCTGAGCATTTCTATCTTGACACAAGAGGTATGGCTGCCCAAAGAAGAGAAAACCTAAGAAAAAGAGTGCTAATTATGGGGATCGTTCTGGTTTTGCTTTTAAAAACATTTACCTAAAGGAGAAAAATGCCAAACTCACAGAGTTGAAAATTTAAGTCATTTGGCCACCTCTATGTTTTGATGTCTTTATCCAACATCCAGGTATAAAATGTTTATGACAGCTCAACTAATCTAAAACCAGTTTCTCTGAAATACCTTCCATGATCCTGGCACAAATTTCAGCTCCTACTCCAAACTGTGGCCAGCCTCCTTCCACAGTTATGAGATGATTTGTCTTCATGACACTGTTTTCTATTGTTTCAATGTCCATTGGTCTGATGGTACGCAAATTGATCACCTAAACAGATAACATAATAAAGTTTACAGAGCCACTGCATCACAAATAGTCTTATTTCCACAATACTATATCCTTTCTATTTCCTGTTACTGTTTCTAGAAAAATCTAATTGTCTATTTCTGAACAAAAGGTAAAAAGGGAAACTAACTAAAACAAAAATATATATCCTATCATAGCAGCTCTGTTAACTTACAGAATTTATTTATCCTTCGCTAGCTTTGACTTCCTTCTCTTCAAAATAGTAACTGACATTTGACTGCTTTCCATGCACCAGATACTTCACTAGATGTAATTTTCACATTTACCCCAATGTCCCATTGGGAGAATGGGGAAATATATTATCCCCATTTTACAGCTTATAAAACTGGACTTGGAGTACATAACTTGCCCAAATGTAACTATGAAGTGGTAGGTTCTAGATATGAAAGGGTTAAGTCTTGCTGATTTCTGTTTCTCTTTCTCCCAATCCCCAGCTCCAAGGCCTTAACTTGCAAAAGCAGTTTTAAAGGATCTAGGACCTAAGTAGTATAAAGCTAAGTGTTTGAAAAGCAAGTCATCTTCTAGCTTCTTGTGGAGGCAGACTGACAAAGCAAGTTTCTATATAGCTTGTTACAGAATTTGAGCTCCTATTTTTGAACCTGAAGTTTAAAAGGAACCTCTCTTATTTGCTATGAAGAAGTGAATGTCCACTCACCTCACATTCAATTCCCTCTTTAGATAGCACTGTTGCAGCTTCCAAGCAGTGGCCTACTGGTCTCGAATGGGCAACCACAGTTACATGTGTCCCTGAAACAGAGTGTGACAGATTAGAGATCAGGTCTGAACTAAAGATGATGCAGCCAGCTATGGCTCTTGTTCAGTTGTAAAATCTTCAGCCCAACTTCATCCTGGTGAGATAAGGAATGTGGCAGCCTTTCAAGAAATAAAATACAGATCTAGTGGACTGAGATTTAGAAAAGTACAAGTGTATGAGCAATCAGGGCATGATACATTCTTAATTTGAGCTCATCCTATAATTTCCTAGTCAAAGTAAGGGGCAATAATGGCTGGATTAAATTTCACCAACATAAATGGAGGGGCTGGATCACAAATAATGGTTAATTCTATACTCTTACCTTGCCTTTCGATTTTGGCTTTTCCAATAGGAATCAAAAAATCTTTTGACTGAGCTTCTGTGGGAAGTTCAAAAGGAACTCCATACATTAATTCATTCTCTAATACCACCACTGAAAAATAAAAATATTTAAACAAAGGTAATGTGTGACTAAAAAATTTTTATGTAGTATTTCATTCATTTTTGTGGAAAGTTTTACCATGTTGATTATGAAGCCCCAAATTCATGCATTTAGTTTAGCCCACAGGGTAGTAGGTACTGACATTTGTAGTATTATCAATCCTAATTTTATCTAGAGGTTAAACCATTGTAGGTATGCAGTAAATGTCTTTTACCTAACTGCCCCCCTTATATTCAGAAATCAGGAAAAGCTCCACATTTTTACTATTTTCACTATTCTCTCTAAATCATTAACACCTTTTATGTGAAAGCCTAACCATGAGCCTTTGATGGTTCCTTCCATACACAGATTTCATTTTAGTTTTTCAATATTCAAAAGAGAACCAAGAGTCACTTTGCTAACCTGGGTTATTATCCCGAATGGCTGATTTAATAAGTCCTTTTGCATCTTCTGAATTCCAGGGGCTGACCACCTTTAAGCCAGGGCAGTGCCCATACCAGGCAGCAAAGCACTGTGAGTGTTGAGCAGCTACGCCTGCTGAGGCACCATTGGGCCCTCTGAAGACTATGGGGACAGACTGAAGGCCTGCTGACATGTAATAGGTCTTGGCAGCTGAGTTTATAACCTGGTCAATGGCTTGCATAGAGAAATTGAAGGTCATAAATTCACAAATGGGTCTCAATCCAGCCTGTCAAATCAAAATTATAGATGTTAGAAACACAAAAGGCAGCAATGAAGAGTGGCAAACAACCGCTCTGCTCCTCCAATATTCAATGTTTCTAAAAGGTCAGAATGAAAGAGATTTTTCTGGATAAGCTTCATAAAGAGGAATACATACCATTGCTGCACCCACAGCAATTCCAGCAAAGCCCATCTATAAAGTAAAACGCAAGCATAAGTAAAAATTCACAAAAATTACTTTAACAATGTATACTTTAACAGACATGCCCTTCAAAGGTCTGCTTCCTGACGGAAGGCTTACCTCAGATATAGGAGTGTCTATGATCCTCTTATCTCCGTATTTCTTCCACAGGCCTCGACTAACCTACAATTATTAACCTCATTACTTTTAAGAACATCTGGGGATAGAATAGCCACCTCAATTTTGGATAGCTTTCACCTATCTTAGTTACCTTGTATGCTCCATCATACTGTGCAACTTCTTCCCCAAGCAGAAATACCTTCTCATCTCTTTCCAGTTCCTCATCCATTCCTTGATTTATAGCATCACGAACTGTCACCTGTCACAGGTGTGGGAAAACTGTCAATAAACTACAGGATTATTTAAGAACCTACTGAGATTCTCTCTTTATAATTAAGTAGGCTGCCCACAGCATACAATATAAAAACTATCACTTGACTAGGCTTCTCACTAAAAGTTCAAAGAATTTTAAAAGTAACATTTCTATCACTCATAATCAGTCTTGACTGGATGTGTTAATGAGCTTACTCAACACTTCCCTGACGTGCACCAAAGCTAAAGCTAGACCAGCTCATAACCAGTTTCCTAAGTGCAAAGAACACTGAAATTTTATTTCCACGCATGGGACAGTGAGCCAAGTAAGCCTAAATACTACTACATATTGAGCACCAGTAGGTGCCAGGCATTGCCAAACACTTTGCCTTCAGGATACAGGAGTTGTTATTTTACCACAAAGTTGGTTGAACCTTCTAGTTAAAAAGGGGGAGGGTAGAACTCGAAATGTTGAACATAGATGATCATAATCCAACAGTTGCACTTTAAAGATGTACAGCTAGAAGACTGAAAGCAGGGAATTCAATACTTGCACACAAACCTTCATAGCAGCATCATTCAAATTCAAAAGATGGGTATTATCCAAATGTCCATCAACAGATGACTGGGCAGATAAAATGAGGCATATGTATACAATGGAATAATATTACATCTTAAAAAGGAATGAAATCCTACTACATGCTACAAGAGACTTGAACTTTGAAAACATTATGCTAATTGAAATTAGCTACACAGAAAAAGACAAATACTGTATGATTTCACGTTTAGGAGGTTACCTAGAATAAATTCACAGACACAGAAACTACAATAGAGGTAACCAGGTCCTATAAGGATATGAGGAGTTAACTGTTTAATGGGTTCAGGGTTTCTGTTTGGGGTGTTGATAAAGTTCTGCAGACGGATGATGGTGACTGCACAGTAGGGTGAATGTCCTTAGTGCCGCTGAATAGACTTTAAAATGATTAAGTTTTATGTTGTGTGTATTTACCACAATCAAAATTAAAAAGGGCGGGCGCGGGAGGAAGTGTCCAGTCTAGTTTCCTCAGCTTGCTCGTCTGACCCGGATCAGCCTCTCTGGAGTCACACGCTGGCGTGACTGGTTTGGGGCGGCCCACGCAGAACCGGGCGCTCGGCCGCCTCCCGCGCTCGCGGCCGCCCCCGGCGCCCACCCACCCCGCGCCGGCACCGCCGGGACCGCCGGGCACCCACCCACCCCGCCCCAGGCGTCGTCCAGGCCAGATACCTGCAGTGCCGCGGGCGAGGTCCGGTGGAAGCGCCTCCTCAGCAGCCCGGAGACCTAGCGGGGAGAGAGGAAGGGCGCTCAGAGGACATGCAGGCTGGGCAGGGAGCGCGCGGGGCCCTGGGGCGCCCGTGAAGCCGCCTACCTGATGAAGGGGTCTCCGCACCAGCGCAGACACCGCCGCCATCTTGACCGTGTCCTCTAACTGTAGTTGAACGACAACACCGCGGGGCCGCGGACGTGTGAGGCCCCGCCTCCCTCGCCGCCGCGGGCCAATGGCAGGGCGCGGCGCCGGCGTGCCCCGCTACTTCCCTCCTCGGGTGAGGGGCCGAGGGGCGGGGCGAAGTGGTGCCCGCGCCCGGCCTCCCCTCCGCTGGGGCGGCTCTAATCAACTTTGCCGGGCGCCAGAGGGAGTTGACAGGCACGCCGGGGTCACGTTTCTAGCTAGTGCTGCTTGAAGGGATGGAATGAGGGGGCGGAGGGCAAAAGTCAGATTCCACAAAAAATGAAAGTCAGGCTCATAGAGCAGAGCATGACTAGCAGCTGCAGAGTTAAGCCGGCCTTCTGCCAGCGCTGAAATGCTCTGGGCTCCAAGGAGCGATTTTATCCTCTCCAGTGAAAGGGGTTCCCATCTTAGCAGTGAGTCTAGTCTTCCCTGGAACGTCGTGTCTGTTGGTTCCTCAGAATGCGAACGCGAGCTTTCATTGACGCATTAAGCGCCTACTGTGTGCCAGGCATTGTGGTAAGTGCTTTCATAGGTCATTTTATTCTCACAGAAACCCTCCCAGGTAACTAGTGTTACTGGTATTATCCCCGTTTTGCAGATGGGTAAACTGAGGCAGAGATCGGTTTGTTGACGCAAATGAGTCAGCATGAATGTTAGCTGATCCAACTCTAGAGGGGAGTCCTTTCTCACTGTCTCCTACTGCAGAAGTTGGGGTCCTGCCTGGGAGAAGGTTACAACAACCTGTATCTAGAGAGAGTCTTGTGTGGTCAAATTCTGGACTGTAGAGGCAGTCTCTGAAAGCTTCTGCTCTTTGCTTTTAGCTTAATCCTTGAAGATTACATGGAGCTATTGGGAGCTTCCTCAGGCCCCACTTGTCCTCAAGAAATTCCAAAGAATAGTTCTGTGAGCTCAGGTTGCCCAACAGCAAACTCAGAGCCTGGGTTTAAGCTAAGGGCTCTGAGAAGCCATTACAACAGGGGAGTGACTGGATTGTAGGAATCAGTGTGGCTGCTGAGTGAGAATGAGAGATAAGGGGATGAAGGCAGAAGCAGGGAGCCCCAAGAGAGACCTTGGTAAAGAGAGCTGGACTGGGAGCAGCCTCCAGATAGAGGTAGAGACTGTCTTGAGATCTCTTTGGGATTGGAGTCAGATTGGTGTGAGGGAAGGGGAAGAATTGAGGAAGATTTTTTGTTGTTGTTGGATGGATAGGGCACGAGGAGCTTGGGAGTGGGTGGGAAGCAAGAATCCATTCTGAACAGACTGAGTTTAAATGACTGGTCATACACAGGTCAGACATAGGGACCTGGAGCTAGAGGGTAGCTAGTGCTATGATATAAATTCGGGAACAAATGCACTGAGATGGTCTTTAATCTCTGGACCTCTGCTTCATTATCTGTGAAAAGAAAAGATGGTCTCTAGGATGGAATCAAGACCTTGCACATTCCCTTACCTGCCACTAGCACCTAGATCCTTTAGTCCTTGGCAGGAAACCCCAGTTACAGCATCCTTGAGAAAACCCTGGATTTGAGTTGTCAGCCTTCAGGGACTCCTGGGTTCTCCTTAGACTGAAAATGTGAGTCACTTCTCACACCATCCAACACTAAAAGATCTCAGCATTAACATTACAAAGCAAAAGGGGACCTTCAGGTGAATAAACAATGACCCAAAGAGATGTCAGAATCTGAACTGTGTTCTAGAGAATGGACAAAATTCTTGGGCCACGTTTACATGGAGAGTCAAAAAAAGATGATAACACTGAATCACTGCAGTTAATTCATAGCCAACTTAGAAAGGCAATGTGGCTCCACAGAGCTCAGCTTACCTCAGTCTAGAATTTTCTTTTTAAATAATAACTGTGGACATTTCAGGCCCATTAGGTGTATTCCCTGGTAGATGTGATTTCCTTTCAACTCTGTAAATGACCAGTTTGGAAAAGCTAGGCATGATTTTCTGTTTAAGAATGAAAGACATTCTGTTTAAGAATGAAAGATTAAAGTGCTAAATTTCAAATCCAAGTCTTTTTAATAACCAGTCTATATTCATTTGCTCAGTAGACCTTTTCCTTCTCAGAATTAAATCTTTCTGAAGTTATGGGCACATTTGGGTTGTCAGTCATCAGAAAATCCTTTGTTCAAAGATTTCTTTTTTTTTTTTTTTTTTTTTGAAGATATACTTATTTACATACAAGAGCTGGGGTATAGGCCAGAGATGCGGGGGATGAGAGGATCCACCAGAGACAGAGTGGGGAACAGAACAGGCAGACTGACTGAAATACACTGCTGAGGGGAGCAGCGGGCAAGTCAGGAGAGGTCTGCTGCGCCATGTGGGTTGCTCCCTGGCCGGCCGAGGATCGAACTTGTGCTGCAGAGGCTGCGGATTGCTTCATATTGTGGTGCTTAACCCCTTGCATCACCAGGGAGGCCCCATTCAAAGATTTCAACCTCTATAGGCTTGACTGACTCCCCAGCCCCTCCATGGTAAGCAAGGTTTTATCAAGGTATTAATGCTCGCACAATAGAACACCTATTTCCACCACCCCAGAAAATTACCTCAGTCATTCCCCTCACATTACCTTACAGGCAAGCACAGATCTGATTTCCATCCTCTTATTATAGTTTGCCTGTTTTAGAACTTGAAATAAAGTAGTTACACCATGTGTACTCTTTTGTGTCTGGCTTCTTTAGCAAAATGCTTTTGAGAGTCATCCATATTGTTAAGTATCAAAAGTTTGCTCGTTTTTTTCTTACATTTTTTTTTTGCTTTTGAAAGACTTTAAAAGAAGTTGCAAAAATAGTTCAAAAATTCCCATGCTTCCTTTACCCAGCTTTGCCCATTAATATCTCACACATTGTCAACTATCAACTCAGAGACTTTACTCAGCTTTCACCAGTTTTTATATGCTCTTTATATATGTAGTACTACAGAATTTTATCTCATGTACAGGTTCATGTAGCCATCAACATAATCAGAATATAGAATTGTTCCATCACCAAAAAGAAACAGTCACACCCCCTCCCACTCCTAGCTCCTGGCAATCACTGATCTGTTCTCAATCACTGTAATTTGTTATTTCAAGAATGTTTCAACAAGATCCAACATCCATTTATGATAAAAACCCTCCAAAAACTAGGAATAAATGGAGCCCAACTAAGTATTATAAATTCCATAAATGACAAACCCATAGCCATATCACACTCGATGGTAAAATCAGTAAACAGCAATAAAAAGGAGTGAACTACAGACAAGCTGATTCTAAAATTTATATTAAGAGGTAAAATACCTAGAATATGTCAAATGATTTTGAAAGGAGTAAAGTTACATGAATCATACCACCTAATTTTGGAATTACAATTGTTTAACAGTAAAAAGTAGAACTAAATTTGTTACTACTTTATTGGTATTGGGGAAGTAAAACAGACAGAGAGATCAATGAAACAGGAGTCCAGAAACCCACCTATACAAGTCTGGGCAACTGATTTTTATCAAAGATGCAAAAGCAAGTCCATGAAGATTGTATACTCTTCTGAACAAATGGAATTGGAATAATTTATTGTTATTTTTAATTTTAGCAGGTAATCCAGAAGGTTAAGTTACAAGTTTCAGTCTGTGTGTTGTGGGCTGTAATTCCAAAGTCAGGCTGTAGTTCCAAAGTCAGTTTGAAAGCATTTGCAGTGTTATTTGGATCATTTCCACAAATGGGACACCCACTGATCAGCCAGGGACCTGGACTACCTTAGCTCAGTTGATAAAGATTATGGTATGTCTTTAGGGTCAGCTCTATACCTGTGAGCCCAATAGTTCATATACAATACTCTGGGCTGTCTTTCTTGATCTCATTTCTATGATCCCCAATACTTTCTGATATCCTAGAGTCTCCCTGGTACTCCAGCCAGAAAAAGAGGTGTAGTATTGGGTTGTTGGAAAAATCATGATGTATTTTTTCTATGTTTTTCAAGCAAAAATATATCATGACTTTTCCCATAACCCAATAGTTTCCCATAACAAAACACCCACTGTGTGGCGTAAGCAACCGAAATTAATTTTTCCCTCAGAGGTCTGGAGGCTGAAAGTTCAAAATCAAGGTACTGGTGGAGCTGGTTTACTCTGAAGCCTCCCTCTCTGCCTTCTTGTGGTGTCTTCATATGGTCTTTCCTCTCTACTTGCATAAACCTGTGTCATAATACCCTCTTTTAAAGACATCAGTCATAGGTTTGGGGCCCACCCTAATGATCTCATTTTACCATAATCTCCTCTTTAAAGGCCTTATTTCCAAATTCAGTAACATTCTGAGTTACTGGGAATTAGGGCTTTGATATATGAACTTTGGGGGAGCACAGTTTGGTGTTCAGTAGAGTAGGGCTTTAGTTTCCCTGCTCTTCTCTGCATCAGGGGCCAAGGCAGAATTAGTGAGAATGAAAGCAAGGGGTTCTTTCCACATTCTTGGAACCACAGCAAATAAATTGGTTAAAGGCAAATAAATTGCCCCTACCTCAAATTTTCAAGCTTCTACCCACTTCTGTCACCAACACCACTAAGGTATTGCCTCCAGACTGGGGCATTTTAAGTTGTGTTAAATACTGTCATATTGCTTTCAATTTTTTTTAAAGATTTATTTATTTATGCATATAAGAACTGGGGTAAAGGCCAGAGATGTTGGGGGTGAGAGGATTTACCAGAGAGAGTGGGGAACAGAACTGGTGGATTGACTGAAAGTGCCTATTTTCCTATACCCTTGCCAATTCATGTGCACATGTTTCTACTTTGAGGTATCTGCATTACGCTTCTGCTGGCAGGAACAGGCATCCCAGCTCTGCCATTTACTTACCATGGACCTTGAGCATCTCATATTTCAGGCATCTCATCTGTTGAATGGATGTTTTAGTCAGTTTGAGTTGCTATAACAAAATATGCTAGCTTATACACAAAAGAAATTTATTTCTCAAAGTTCTGAAGATTTGAAGTTTCAAGATCAAGTTACCAAAAGATCCAATTTCTGGTGAGACTCTGCTTCCTGGATCATAGACACTGTCTTCTCAATGTCCTCATATGCCTGAAAGGATGAGGGAACCTCTAAGGTCTCTTTTATAAGGGCACTAATCCCATTTGTGAGGGCTCGCCTTAAGAGATAATCATCTCATAAGGCCTATAAAGACCTATATCACATTGAGGTTAGGTTTCAACCTATGAGTTTTGAAGGGACACAAATATCAACTTAGGCATCCCTGGTGGCACAAGGGTTTAAGCACCGCACTACGAAGCAATCCGCAGCACGAGTTTGATCCCCAGCCGGCCAGAGAGAAACCCACATGGCGAGGCAGACCTCTCTGTCTCGCCTGCTGCTCCCCTCAGCAGTGTATTTCAGTCAATCTGCCTGTTCTGTTCCCCACTCTGTCTCTGGTAGATCCTCTCACCCCCCACATCTCTGGCCTGTGCCCCGGCTATTGTATGCATAAATAAATTAATCTTTAAAAAAAAAATCAAGTTAATTGCAAAGGGGATAATAGTAAGACTGCTATGAGGATTAATTGAGTTAATGTTTGTAAAGCTTCTTAGAACAGTGTCTGTCATATAGAAAGTATCATAATTATTAATTAATTTTTAAAAATGAATTAAGGTCTTCCAAGAGAAACTCCCTATGCCTACCTTCTAGAGAGGATGAGATGATAAATACTTTAAATACATTTAAATAATAAATATTAAATACTTTAAATGAGCTTTTGCACAGTGCCTGGTACATAGTTAATGCTCCATAAATACCCACCATTATTCTTGTTGGGGTTTCCCTGGTTTTCATTGTGGGCTGTTCTACAGTGAGTAGCTGTGAGTTAGTAGCCAGGTCTGATGTACCCAGTCCACTGCGACTTTGCAGGAGGAAACTCTTCTTTTCTAGGAACAGTCCTTCTGAAGTACATTAGGTCCTGAGGTGCAGCCTTCTGGCAGTGGAGAATCCCGGCAGCTTTAACTGCCTGCTCACGCTGGTACCCTATGTGGCAGCAACAGTTAATGCAGGTGAAAAATAGGCCCTGGATTGGCAGGTAAGCACCCTTCTTGGCAGGAAGACCAGGAAAACACTGTTTGTGATGAAAAGCAGGTGGGTGATGTGATAGAAAAATTAGAGAAGGGGCTTAATGGATCTTGGCTGGAAAAGAATTAGTCTGGCCAAATATAATTTACTATGTGGTAAAAACCAACTTGGAAAAAGTGCTAACTAGATCCCTTCAGAAATAAATTAATTTAAAAAATGTACCATATATGTAACATAGTGTACATAGTGTGTAAAACATGTAACATATGTATATTATATATATGTGTATGGAGAAAGAGATCTAGTTAGCAAAGAATTCTAACTACTTGGTTTTTACCACATGCTGAATTGTATTTTACATTTATGTTATATTGTAACACATACATTACAAGTTAACATGCATATATTAATAGGTATATTGTATTACATGCATGTGCATTATGAATGTATTAATTCATACAAATTAGGTTATCAATTTGGTTCTTAACACTGAATTATATTTTATATTTATATTGCATTTTCTGATATCAGAAAATAGCAACATGTAATACAATAGTCTGTGGGGAAAGGCATGGAGCAATTTTTCTTGGAGCAGCCCAAAAGGGGTAAGTGTCATGGCCACCCACTTCCTACTCACTGGCCTGCTTCTAGGGGCTCTGTCACTTTTCTGCTCAATGTGATTATCCCACCAGCTCTGGGCCTGACGGGAGCCTTTGAGAAGTGGGGGAGTATGAAAAAATGGAAAGAGGGCTGGGCTATGAAAAGGCTCAAATGCCAGGCCCATCCATGGAGGCCTCTTGGTACCTGAGCTTTTTGCAGCCCTGTCCTGTCTGTACTGCTTTTTTTAGGGTGAACTCAAAGACAATGAACTGACCTTGGGACCTAAAAGCAAATGAAAGGCAATCTGAAATGACTATAGTCAATGTTTATGGAGCTGGTACTCTGTGCTTGGCATTGTGCCAAGTGTTTTACACATATGTTCTCATTTAACTTAATCTACCCTCACAACTCCTCTCAGAGGTGGTTATTATTATTGATAAATTAATTTATTTGGATAGATTGTACTCACAGTAAAAAATTCAAAGGATATAAAGACATTACTGAAATGTGGGTCTCTTATCAAATAGGTCAAGAAACTTAATACAGACATAAATCAAATATGGCAAATAGTAACAGTGTGGCATGTAGGTGGTGAGTAGATGGGAATTCATGGCATTATTCTTTTAACTTGTCTGTATGTTTGAAATTTTTTTGGAATAAATTTGAGAGACAGAAAGTGAGTCTCCTTTCAGTCTCAGTCTCCCTCATGATCTCACATTGGCACCTTAGGCTATTTCTGGTACCACATTAGTGGAATTTAGTTTTTGAAAAGCTTTTGAAGCAGAGCTGTTCAGGACTGGGCCATCCAGGTGAATTCCCACTTTCCCAGGTGACTGTTTTGTTCCCAAGACTTACCCATAGAGGGCACCCTCTCCACTTAATTGACAACTGCTAATGGCAGAAGGTGCAGAAACCACAGTGCCAGGGCTGCCGCCACGTGACTCATGAAAAGTGGGGCCTCCAAAAGTATAAATACATCTGTTCTCTGGCCTTAACCACATTTCTTGTGGGTTGCAAAACTCAGACTCTGAGCCCACAATTTGGCTTAGCAGCATCGAAGGCTGAAAGAGGGAAAGGTTGCCCAGAAAGCTTCTTCACCCACGTGCTGTACTGTGAGCCTTTAGAGGATGGATAAAATGCCCCATTTGGGGCACAAGACTCTTCATAAGATTCCATGCATTTTGATGTTTTGTTGCTGATTACTTGATGAGGTTAAGTAGTCCTTTTTGACTAATGGAAAGTCATTTTCTTTAATACATTAGAACCCATTTGTAACAGTGGGCATGGACTACGTCTCAACTAATAGTACCAATCTTCTTTTATGTGTAATTGTTATATTTAGGGAGACAAGAGTTCATCAAATCTTCTCTGTATCCTGTAAAAGGGAACTTAATTATATTAATGAATATGTAACAAAGAAATTTAAATCAACACCAATAAATAAATGACTAATCAAATACAGACATTATTATATTATAGTTGACATATGCTGTCATTTGAAGTAGGCTAAATTTTTTGCCTTGTGCATATATAAATATCTATTTCCAGAGATGAGGCTCTTTGAAAAAAATGTATATGTTGCTTAAAATATACCATAAAAATGGAAATATGGCATAGTTGTTGAGAAAGCCAGTTTTACTACTTCAAGGAATTTGTTCTGTAAACATAATCACAAAAGCAATGGGTGAAAAGATTTCTGTAAAAGATGATTCATAGTAACTTTATAAAAATATTGTAACTATAATAGAAAAAGGAAATAATTAGATATTCATGGGTAAGGGTGTAGATAAAAAATATATATATACACATATGGACATGGTACAGCCACAAATTGAATATTATGAAACTATAAAATGAATAAAGAAGTTTTCTGGATAAGAGAGGGATAACCATCTTTCTACTTTTCTGGAACTTCTTCGGAATGGTTTTGAAGGGAAGTTTGAAAAGTCAGTGATACTTTCCACCACTACTTTGTTTTTTAAAAAACTTTGTTTTGAAATAACTATATATTTATTGGAAGTTGTAGAAGTACACAGCGAGGTCCTTGTGTCCTTCCTCTAGTTTCCCCCAATGGTTACAGCTCAGGAAACTATAGTACAACATCAAAACCAGGACAGGACATTTGTACAATGCATGTTTGCTATTGTATCACCTGAGTAGACTTGAGTAACCATCACCACAATCAAGATACAAAACTATTCCATCACCACAGAGATCTCCCCCACACTGCCCTGCCATAGTCACACCCACCTTCCCCCACCCCAGTCCCTGCGCCTGGCAACCACGAATCAGTTCTCTGTCTCTCTAATTTTGTCATTTTGAGAATATTTTATAAATGGAATCATACAGCGTGAGATTGGTTTTTTTCCACTTAGCATAATGCCCTTGACAGCCATCCAAGGTTTTGTCTATATCAGTAGTGTGTTCCTTCTTATTGTTGAATAGAATCCCATGGAATGGATGCCCCACAGTTTGTTTAATCATTCACCTATTATAGGACATTTTGGTTGTTCCCAGTTTAGGACTATTACAAATAAAGCTGCTATGAACAGTCACACATAGGTTTTTATATGAACATAAGTTTTCATTTCTCTGGGATAAATGCCCAGGGCTGCAATTGCTAGGTTGTAGGATAAGTGTATGCTTAGTTTTTCTAAGAAACTGCCAAATTATTCCAGAGTGCTGTACCACTTTACATTTCCAAGCACAGTTTTCTTTTTATACAAAATGTTATTGACTACTGTTAGTATAATGGCACTAGGCCAAAGGCACTTGAGGCTCTAAGACATTTTTATTTTCTAGAGAAAATAAAGTTAATATATGTTCAATGAGGAAACAAAGTAAGGTCAAGACTAAGCTCTTTGCTGGCCCACAGGATCCCATATTTATCCTTGTGGATTTTCAGAATGTTTCTTTCCTCACCATCAAGCTAACCTTTTGTTGGAAAGCTACTTTTAACACATCGTGCAGGTCACTAGGGTCTATCCCTGACCTGTGACCTCTGGTTGGATTCTGTCCCAGGGCTCCCCATAAAGCTTGGACTCATTCTGCAAAGTTCTACCTCCAAAAATCTCTAGAGATCTAATTGACTATGTCAGACTAATTTCAGAACCATCCCCCTCTGTACCCACACACCCAGCCCCAGCACTAAATAACATTAAAATTTCCCTACCCCCACCAACCCTCCAAGCTTCAGTTAAACTACAGGGGTGCAGTCACACTCACTTGTCTTAGGAGTGCAGACTCCGGGTTTCATGCTGGCTGGCCTGGTGTCCTTGGGCAAGTAACAACTCCCAAGCCTAAATGTCCTCATCTGTACACTTGAGACCATAGAAAATAATAGTACCAGCCAAGAGAGCCAGAATATGGTTATTCTGCAGATGGTCTACTATGGACCAACTCAGGATACAGTGTGAAGAAAGAGGAGACCCTTCCCTCAGGAGGGTAATGAAGAGAAAACATGTGTGCAGTGGTAGGCCCAGATTTTACCATATAGTTAGCCTTCAAAAGATGTTTTTTGTTTTATTTTTATAGTCAAATGCAATAATTGTTTATGGACGTCAGTGAAATGGGGACCCAAGACAATACGTTTGGATTAGTATATTCATGTCCATTGTAGTCAGACATTAATCGCCATTAATTGTTGGTACCTGTCCTGGTCATTCCGTTGCTAAGGTGAGATCATTTGCTGACCAAGGACACTCATTTTGTGCTTAAATCCTAGGATTAACTTCTGGATTTAATATCTTGAATAACAAATTCAGTAAGAGTCTCTTGTCATAAATCTACAACTTTGAATAATCTTCATACAAACTTGCAAAAAAAAGCCCCTTACACTGTGTTTGAAGGTTCATATATTATCAATATACCACACAATGAAGAACAATATACCACACAATAAAGAACAATTTCATTGTCTATAAAGGTGACATATTTCATAAGTCCTTCATCAGAAATACAAAATTTAGTATGGGAAATCCTCTTAGAAAAAAAATTATGTTTTTTAATCCTTAAAAATGCCAACAAGGTAACACACACACACATATTTTTAGAGAGAGAATGGTGCTAAGTGAATGCAAGACTACTCAAAAGAAGTCTGAATTTTTTGCAAATAATTATGAAAATTATTTAATCGGTTGAAATTGGTCACTAGGTAAATTTATTACTGGGACATGTTTCTCTTATCTCAGTGGTCTATTCCCAGGGCAGAACCAACATGGCTTCCATGAGCAGTTTGGCCATTATAGTAGGGCTGGATGGGAGTATTCTGTTGGTTGACCCTAGATACACACACACACACACACATACACAGGCGCGCGCGCGGACACACACACACCAGCCTCTGGCTACCAGGATGGGCGTAGGGTATAGATTTAGGGCCTCTTTGACTTCCATAGTGGAATTTGGCAC